AATAACAGCCTCGGAGGAAAACACATTTTTCAATGTTTAGTAAGGAGTACCAGTGACATTGTATAAAATAAATGTGGGTGACAGGGGGAGCCTGCAATCCTAATCTTATGCATGCGTCGCATGTATGTAGCCAGCATTCATTTGGACTTCCACTAAGAATGAATGGAATGCACAGAACGAATTTGATATGCTTGGACCTTCTATACTCATAATCTGATCACGCCTGTTTTGACTATCTATCTGTCACATGAAACTTATCCAAAGCACAGCGATGGAGCAAAAGTGTTTTGAACGTCAGTTGTTGTTGCTTTGCACTCCATAACCTTTGGTTATTACTACAGTACGGTGCAGTTCAAATCCTCCAGTCAGTAAACCTGTTACCATGGAATTGCACTGGCAACTGCACAGTTGACCAATGCAGCGAAACCACTCTTATTAAGTATAGACCTCTTTCCTTGCTCAATGGAGACGTTTAATAATTTAGCAATATTTATCCTCCAAGGGTCCCATTTGTATGGACACCTAGACTTTGCAAACAGCATTTTCTTTGTCAGTTAGTGTTTGGACAACTGCAAACATGACCAATATATTTTAAAAATTGGCTCCTGATCACATTTCTAGTATACACGTAATGTCAGATCCCGGGGGAAACAGTTTTGTTTTCGCGACAGTAGCGATGTTTCCCGAGACAGAGCTGAGGGAAACATCAGGACTCAAGGGAAACAAAACTAACTGGTTTCCCGAGGGACCTGACATTAAGTCTTTTCTTATATTTCTAGACTCTCACTTCAACAGTGTCAAAAGAATATGTACTTATGTACTTTGCGGACTGGTACGAGTGATGTGGCACAGTTGTAGCCTGGTACGAGCAACATGGCGGCTTGACTCGTGTTTACGTTTCGTGGTAGTTATCGGAAAAAAATAGAGTTTTGATATGATCAGTGCAGTCATGGGCAGACAGCTTTCTGTTCCTACATTCTAAGTCACACAGCTTTATATCTCCAAAAAGTAATTTGTGGAAAACAAAAAAGACTTCACTCGTACACGGACCGTTGTTTTCTGGTATCGGAAGTAGTGCAATTTTCGAGCATAAAAACGTCCATACCATGCATTTTTTATTTGTGTTTAAACTATTATTGAAAAAAAAGGGAGGGGGAATTTTTGGCGACCACAATTTGCCCTCTGGGGACCAAAAATTTATACTTGATCGCCAGTTGGCGCCCGTATTAAAAAGTTAATTTCGGGCCCTGTACATTTGCCCTAATATATCACGATTGGGATACATTTGATTTTTGTCAAGGCAATGTGACCAAGTATGAACCGATGGCTGTCCCTGTTTAGTTAAGTGAAAGTCTAGGAATATAACAATATTATTTGTTTTATACTTCAGGTTAATATCATCATACCCATTGGCATGTTGCTTGCCTCTATTTACCTTGTTGTTGCACCAATCACAACTGATCCATGGGGATCTCTCATAGCTCTGGCAATAATCGTGGCAGGTCTTCCATTCTACTGGCTGTTCATTTACAGTGATAAGGCACCAAAATTTATCCTTAAGGCAGCAGGTGAGACTCAGATACTTAGAGGATACCTAACCCTAACCCTAAATATCTTGCTAAGAAAGACTCCTGGTTCTCAGCTAAAGTGTAGGCCATTTCTGAATTGCCCCAAGTCTCTGTGCTCTTTCCTTGCCTTTTAGTCCCTGCAATATAAGGGATGTTACATATGTTCTGCTGTCATTATTTTGTGGTGAATTATGTCCATAACAATGTTCGGACCAGAAAAGTTTCTTGAACTTCTAGAGCAGGATTTATGCAATGTGTTATGTATGTATTAATTAGATCTCTATTCATAGCCAACATGATTGCGCACATATAAAGCTATGGGTATTTTGGAAGGGCAGGATGGTTACATTTAGTTAAATGGATACATTGAGAAATATCAGCCTTACTGGAACTTAAGTCCATTATTATAATTATTATATAGATCATTAACTCTTCAGTTTAAGATGATCCATTAGATGAGTATTCCGTCAATGACAAATTGCATTTTTTTTTTCAGATAAGTTCACAGCCTGGTGTCAGCGGGTAGGGAACATGGCTTTTGAGGATCCCGACACTGTACCAGTTGAAGTATAAAGAGTTGTAAGAGTATTACACAGATTAATCATGTTTACAAAATTAATGGCAAATGTCGATTTGTACCAGATGTCCAAGTTTTCCTTTACTACTCTATCACTGTTCTTTGTACAATAGCATGTACCCGCAAAGAATAAAATTATTAGTAGTAGCAGTTTCATGTTAATAACACCCAGGAAGTTATTATGTTAAACCATTTTTAACTGTCCATTTGCTAATTTGAGAACCTGACATTTGCCAGTTGCTGTAAACGTGATTCGTAATCATTCCATTGTCATAAATCTTTTACTTGAGAGTAAGTATAACATAACGTCCATCTTTACAGCAACATGCAGTCAATGTGTCAGTAAAGTGAAAAAATATATTTATTTGTTAGATTTTTTCATATGAAAATATTTTATACCTTTTGCTGACTAGTTATGTATAGTATATATTATTTTAATACAACATCAAAAAAATGTTCTTTTAATGGACAAAAATTCTCCTCTACTTTAGATTCCATATAAAATGCATTGTACCATTATTTTAGTTAAAGCAAATGTTTTGGCTAAAAAAATCCACAATATAAAAACATCGTAGCAAGTGTTGATTTATGAGAGAAATCAACTTCCTACACGGCTAGTTTGAAACTTGTATATTCAAAGCTTGTAACAGAAAGAAATCTCAGAATCATGAAGTTTCCAACCAGACAAGCTGCCAATATATTTTCATACTTAATTGAAGGGCACATCAAAATCTATTGATTCTATGTCTTAACTTTGTAGTTATTTAGTTATTTGTAGGTATGAATTTCTCATTTGATCTTCATCAGAATTTTCAGAAAAAGGACTGTATTGTTTCATTCGAAGACTTTCAGTCAAAACTCACAAGCAAAACAGGCAGTGAATTTTTTGTGCATGCTAAAAATAAATTTCTGTTGCTTGGAAATGTTTTACACCTTCATGTTCAAGTGTTTTTGTGTGACTTAACCCTTTAAGCCCCAGCATCCACATACAAATTCTCCAAACTGATCTCCATACATTTCCTTAAAGAATTAATGGAGAGAATTTGATAATAGATCAAGGCATTTTGTCTTGGGTGATCATTTTTTTAAATTCTCATAACTTATCTCTTGAAAGTGTATGGATGTTGTTAGGAGAAAATTGATGAAAAAAATTGATCTTGGTCACTGTTGGGACTCAACGGTTAACACGAGAGAATAGTAGGACAGAGGGGGAATCTTAGGGCGTTGGCCGGGATATGTGAATTTCACTTAAGTTAGTTTTAAAGGTTGTAATTAAACGGAAGTCTAATTCCTGAGACGTCTGCCAATTTTAATCAATTTATTGTTTGAGACATCATCAAGTCCATGTGCGACTACCTGAAAGCAAACAATGCAGAGTACTGTGAAGGCAACTGTTGAATTCTCTCCTGACAACACTGAGTAAAAGTTTGCGGACCTCTCAAGAGACCAACTTCCAATTAACTTCTAGCATCTATTGGTCTAAAAATAACTTGGGTAAATTCACGTATCCAAAGGGCTAGACTGGGCGTGTCTGTTTGATTATTCCCTCTCAGTCAACAACAAAGTAAGGCCTGTTTGTCTGTGTGGCATATGTTGTTTCTTTAACCTGTTATTCAAATATATAAATTATTCTTTGTTCGTCCATACAGTACTTTAAGATGTATGGAGAATTTGTTACAATATAAAGGGTGCTCACCTTGGTGGTCATATCTAAGTTAATGCATCAGCTCTTTGACTGAGTAATGGTTACTGGAAGAAATATATGGATAATGATCATAGGTGGGTAGTTTCTGGGTGTTGCAGATGGTTTGATCCTAAAACAGCATTTATTTGATTTAAGAGGCCCTGTTAGTGTAAAATTCCAACAAGTGGAATGGCGTTTTTACAACGACATAAGACTAGATGAAATGATGTCAAGCGACATAAAGATGGGTTAAACGCTGACAGGGACACGGTCTACTCTTCAAAACCTGAAACAAACGTGTTTGAATTCAGACTAGGGCCTCTTTGAACGCCTCAGATGGAGGTAAAATTACCCAATTGGAAGGATGCAGCGTTTATTCAAGGATTATAAGAAAAAACTCAGTGCAGCTTTATTACCTACACCATCCTGACAATTACAATTCTATCTCAGCAAGAAAAGCAACGCTAAAAATTGCGGGTTCAATCGAGTAATTACGGAAATTCTGTACAAAAATTTAACAAACCGATGATGGATCTGGCCACTGCAAGATGGACAGCGGCCAACTAACAGTGGTTTCTGCAACATCCAAAACACCCAGAAATAGCTGAAGAGGTTGGGGTTTTCAGGTAAAGTCAGTGGCTACCTTATGCTAAACTACTTGACTAAAAACTAAATATTAGATTGAATATAAAAAGATTTACATAAAGGGATGTTGCTGACTGATGAATTTTGAAAACCCAAATCATTGTCACAGTAACTTTTATACTGTTAGATTAATTTGACTATATTGTCAAGTTATTGTAGGTAGTTATCACTTCCGCCAAAGTCCAGATAAAAATGTTTAAAATATAATCCAAATGGTGGGGAAAGTTGTAAACGTAATAAGCCATTAGCATGCAAATTCAAGTTATCGAAATGTTATTATAACCATTAATGCTTAGCAGTAAAAGTTGCAAAGATCTCATTGGTGGATCTTGTATATTTAGCTAATTTATGTTGTTAATGTGGAAATATTATAACCAGGCCTCAGTTGTTCAAAAGCTGGATATAGCCCTGTCCAGGATAATACATTTGGTTTCCTTAAAGGGGCTGTGTCACGGCAGTCCTGTTCATTTTGTTTAATTTTGCCAATTGCTTGCCCGCAATCACTAAATGGAGTTACATGTAAATGACAAAATCAGAGATTCGAGCGAGACAAGCAAATATGTCTCTTGATCATTATTTTTGAAGTTGCAAACAGCAGAGATCAACTTTGAAAAACTGTTAGGCTGCGGAACAGTTTTCAAAAACCCTAATTTCAATCCGTTTCAATCTTCTTCAGTTTTGCCCATTCGTGGCATCTGTTGTGTTACTCTGACCTTCCTTTAATGTTTTAAGCGGTTATATTTATGTTTCTCTCAATCGAACGGGCATTGTGTAATTACCTAATTTGGCTGAATTTCGTGACACAGCTCCTTTAATACTTATTTACTGGATAATGATTTATCCGGTGGACGGCTCTATCCAGCTTTTGAACAAGTGGGGCCAGACCAGTTGTAAACGTTAAGTATATATAGTTAAACCCAAAGCTGTGTAAAGCAATTTCATTTATCAAAGCAAGTGTATCATTAAAATAAGACTTGCAAACAACCTTTATGGACTTGGTACCTTCAGTAACATAACCGGTATTGCTTGAATCTAGACTAACTAAGCATTCTTCCTTACCCCACCCCACATGGTCTTTTCTTAGACCTCTTGTTGGATGGGCCCTACGAATATAATGACGTTACCCTTTTCGACCACTCTCAAATTGGGAGTAGCCACGCATGTTTTAGAAGGGGTAAAACTGAGGAAAATGAAAAATAAGTTGTAGTCGTAGGACAGTCAACTCCCAGAAAGATAACAGAATTGGTTCTTGCTGTTCTTTGACTCTCTTTAAGGCGGACATGTGGGATCACTTTAGTTTCCTGGGTAACTGTCCACTTCGGGCAAAATGTTGGCTTATGGGAGGGCTAGGAGGGCAGTTTCTCAGAAACTTTATCGTGAGAAAATAACCTCTCGGATACCCAAGGTACCCCATGTGTATCTTCGACTCAAATGGTACGAGTATGGGTTACAGTTTTATCGGGGCGTGGGGGTACTCCTGGCAATTCCTGGTGGGGGCGCGCCGCACGGTTCTCCAAATCCTGACACTATTTCAGACCAAAAAATGTCATTTTTTCCACCCATTTTCAGACCTGTAGTCTAAAATCCATACCCGTTTTCAGATTTGTCCTCTACGACATTATGTCATCATTACTTAGATTAGAACACCAACGAAAAAGATTTCTTTCTTTATTATTTAAAACTCAAACAATGAATACGTTCATACATTACCGTAGGTTCCTCGAAACCCGTACCCGATTCCAGAGCAGACCCTTTGGGACAGCACATCATAGTAAATGGCTTATATATGGGTGTACCCCACCACCCCCAAGGGAGTTTCAAAAATCAGTCACTGCCACATTTTCCCATGATCCACTCCGTTTCCAGAACTTCGTTTTCACTTCACTTCAGACGTACAATTATCCTAAGGGAATTCAGTGGGAGAATTGCTTTTGCAAATCATGTGTCTTTGGGGGAAAGGACAAAGAAAAATGTATTATGGGAAACGTGGAAGTGGGGGGGGGGGGGGAATGGATTTACAACGAGTGAATGGTTATATTGATTGCCTGAGTTACGGTTTTAAGACAAGTAAAACACAAACGGCTCATTTACTAAGTATCAGTGGAGTTAATTTCATTTTATTTGCTTGAAAAACTTCACATAGTGGTATACAACAAAATAGATTATGTGGAGTTTTTAAAGTAATAGCTACGAATCTTTTGTTTTATCTACTTATATGGACTCTGTAGTGCACAAATTCCCTAAAGGAAATCAAACGTTACATTACCTTTGAAATGTGTCAACGGTACCTTTGTACAAATCTCAGCCAAACTCGACAATCTTGCTTCACTTTTGACGTGAAACAAAGTTGTATTGCTTTGACGAAAGGCAGACTGCCTTTATCACGTGAGACCACATGCATAGGCGATGTAAATTTAATGAATCTACGCGGTGTGTGATGATAAATTGACCAAGCAACTACATTCGACAACGCCATTGGTTAACACTCGTAACAAATCTGATCTGTGACACGCGTATAAACACACACTAAAATGTCATAAAAATCTCTAAAAACATATGCAAAGTTTTTCAATCCACAGAGCTTCTTAATTTTCAAGCCTCTTCACAGGATTAGATTGCAGCAAATATATTAACATGATTTATAGCTAAACATTCCGAATGTGATATATATATCATATATGTACATAAACGCTCAATTAATTTAATTCAATTCAATTCACATAAGTTAGATTGTCCGCATTTCTTAAATAATATAAACGCTGCAGCGCGTTAATTGTAACCTACAATACGTTGGTCGTCTTAACCAAAATCATGAGCAGGATTGATAACGTGGGAGATCTGTTATCAAGACGCGTTATTTTGTTGAGATGAACACAATCGACACAAATGGTTAGGTCAGATGACTACCATTGCCAGAAAACAGTTCAGTTTTTGCCCTTGATAAAATATATTATTTCCAGTGAAGCATAAAAACTATAGTTCTAATTTGCAAAGGAAAACAACGAACTGAAATGGGATTCTGGCTGCTGCAGTCAATTAACGCTTTCTTGCTAATCTTGCAATTTATTTTTGGGAGGTTGAAACCACTATCATCATCATCATCAAATTCAGCGCTCAAAAGATTATGACACATCCTATTGCTGTATGACAATGTTCTAACAGACTAGGTAGCTAAAAACAATATCTACAATCATAAACTGTCAAATAATTCAGCGTAATACTAAGTTTGAAAGAGGGAGCGTAAAAAGGCTACACAAGGATTGCATTTTTTTCTATTTGACCGATTTGTTTTGTAAGGAAAACCTATACCAGCAACTCTGGCTGTAGACTGTTCACAGTCCCCTATTATTTCGTAAGGGTTTACGGTCATCTCGCCACCAACGAATAAATCTGAAATAATTGACACAGGTTAATACCTAGCATTACTTACTTAAGATTTTTGCTTTTTCGTCAAGCTTACTCGAATTTAAAGTCGACCCAAATACAAATCTGTCGATCCTAATTGACGAACCTTGCGTCGAACGTCTTGTGCTCTTGACAATGTAAATACTAATAATACATGTGTAGGTCAGGTTCTGTGAATGTAAACTTTGACATTTGAGGATTACAAAACTGGCAGAAACGTTTCAAGACCACTAGTCATTTCTTTGAAATATGAAAATAAAGTAACGGTTAAGAAATTTCCGTTCATGAAAGTTCAAAACAGTGCTAATCTAAGTTATATTCTTGATGGCGATTTCGTTGGTGGCGAAATGGTTTGGTGGCGAGGTGACCAGATACCTTTCGTAAGATCGTCAGGATCGAGCAGCTACTCTTCCGGGCAGCCATCTTGGCTTCAAATGTATCGAGTCTAGCTTGGGGATGAGTAATAATTCTATTTAGCGGGGGATCGATCTCGACGATCTTACGAAAAAATGGGGAACGGTGAACAGTCTACTCTAGATGATTTACTGTTTGGATTTCGTCCATGAACTCCTCAAATTTTCTAACTGAACACCAGTCTCACTAGAGGATTCGATGTTTGGATTTCGTCCATGAACTCCAAAATATTGAAACTGCAGTTTTAAACTTTGTGTGTCCGAATAAACATTCGAATTTCAAATACCAGAAAAGACGAACCGTTATCAGAGTAACTACCTTGGAATATAGTATTAAACTGTACGGGTAAGGAATTTGAAGACCAAATACTTCTGTTTGAGGTGTAAATTGTCTAATTCAGACAACCATACCACTTTTTTAAAAGTAATTACGGAAATGTTTTGGAGATATTCTCCTCCCCAACACCCTTTTCTTTCTCTTGAAACGAGGAGTTCTGGTCGTAACAAAGTAAATGCAAGCGCAAAACGCCGGATGTAAGAAGTTAGCTGACAACCGATATTGTTTGTGACCAAGGCCCCTCGTTTCGCTAACCACTCGAGCAAATGAAGAAGACGGGCGTTTGGCCGGAACAAATAAAATACTTTTCAACACTCACGACGCCACCATTTCAGCTTCATTTTCGGGGAGAGCCACATCAAATACCTTCTGCAATTTGAAAGTTAACCTCCCTGAAACGGAAAGAAAATAAATAAGGTACTGCACATAAACTACAGCGAGTAAACACGCGCCTGACCAACCACCTCAATAGCAGGGCAAGTTTGATATCGCATTTTATCAAGATTACCTATAACGTCAATAAACAAGCAAATACGATGCAAGCGGGCTTCAAAAAATGCAGGAAAATGCCTGTCAGCAAGGCACCTGCCTTAAGCTCACTTCTAATTGGAGGAGAGAAGGTCGCGGTGTTTTCTAGCCACATTCTTTCGCATTCCCTGTTTTATGAATCTCAAACAGTTTGGTACCGACTTGTGGTGCCGTTTTAGCAAAACATCATGACGCATGAATACCTTAATCCCCCTCGGAAATAAGCACTCTTGTAAGCACTTCCACACTATTCGAGGTCGATTTTTCGTGTCCGAAGGTTTTGAATCCGGAAATAATGCCCCCTAATACTAGGTATCCAAGTGAATTTTCTCATTTACTGATGTGTGTCAGGGGCCCCCTTTAGCTCCTGTGTGTGTAAATGTCTGCGAATCCGAATACATTAAACGTAAAAAAAATCCGGGAATATTTATGAAACGCCAGGAAAATATCCTGTATTCAAGCTTAAGGAAAGACGTTTTCGAGCAACGCACGTCAACCGGAAGTGGACTTTTTTCCTTCTTGGGCCGTGGTTTTGCCCAAATGTTCGGGCAAATCGTCTCTATAAGTCCTATAAGTGTAAAGACACGTAGCAATACTAATTTGGTAGTGTCTAGGAATATCAAAAGGGAAAAGATCTAACTTCCAGTTGACGTGCGTCGCTTAAAAACGCCTTTGCTTAAACTCCCTTGTCTGACAGGTGCAGGTACAAAAAGGATCACACTCACTGCTGAGTCCTGGTGGGCAAAAAGTTGACCCCTTGCCGAGCCAACAGTACTCGCGCATGCTCTGATTGTCCAAAACAGCGCAGGCGCATGCTGCGATTGTCTCGCTTTGACCGAGTTGACCCACTCTGGGTGAAACAAAGTGTTTACACAAAGAAGAGTTGGCCCGGCTAGGAGGGTGAGTCCACTATTACAAAAGGGTGACCCGGCTTCAAGCCGAGCCAACCACAGTTCGCCCCGTTTTGTAAGGAAATCTATGAAAAGTTAGCTCGCCCAGTGTGGCTTGACTTTTCTCCATATAAACCGGGCCATTAGCCATAGTTTTAAATTACTCACGTAAAGATTTCTTTTAACGCCAGTAAAAAAAAAAGAAATAGAGAACAACTTACCAATTGCCGAAAAGAAACTTCGAGGCACGATGTCAAAAAAGACAAAAATAAGATAGACAGGTATTCCAGCCAAAATGAAGAGCAAGCAGAAGAAGGATTCCAGAGGTGCTTCATAGAAAGGTGCTATAACCAGGTAAATTGAGGCCAGCAAGACAAGAATGGGTACTACTATTGGAACCTGATAAAGGAAAATAGTCATTGATTTAACAAACGGCGGCGTATTCGATGGATTTCACTCAGCCGAAACTCAAGGTGCATTTGATGGGTCCTCGGCATCTATGCCCGACATATTGAAAGCGAAGGTTCCAGTGCCTCTCTAGGCGCGATCCATTCAACCAAAATTTCCGGAAATTTCCGTCTAAAACTCACTGGATCGGTTCTGTCCAACTGGAAACGTTTCGAAAAAACGGGTCCACCTTTTAAGGTCGACCAATTTTCCCGGTCGGACCGGTTGGAATTTTGGTTGAATGGATCGCGCCCTCTGTTTCCTTTCTTCCTGCCTTTCTACCTTGCTATTCTAAGTGTTTCTTCCGACACGCGCAAATTGAAACAAGGTATTCAGTATTCAGTAGCTATTCAGTTATCATGGTTGGCTTGTCCTCCAGCTTTTGTTGCTTCTCACTGAATAGCTGAGACTCCATGTCATTCCACTTCATTTCCAGTGACCAGTCTTCCTTTCTTCTATCACGCCCTTCCTATCTCTAGCTAGGCCTTCCAAGGAGTACATAACCTACTTTTAGCTGTCTCTTTACCGACCTTGCCCCTCAAACTAGCATTGCTGTCTACAATGTCTCTTTATCTTTTACCCTGCTACTTGAAGAGAACGTTACATAAAAAAGGAAGAATCATAAATAAAATTAGGTTGCACAACATGTATTCTGGTGTTCGTGGTAGTCAATCGTTCTGTAATATTCCTAACTGCCTGTAGACTTTCTATCGATATAAAACTGTGTATGTTCAGTTATTTATCATTTCCACGCAAAAGCTGTCCAGAGCAACATAAACGCCTTTCCTATCAAAATGATTTCAGTACCTAATGCAGGGTTCTGGTTATGGCTGCAACGATACAGTTTCACATGATATGACACAAATCGTGATACAAGGGCCACGATACAATACAATTTTATTGTATCGTAATATCACGACATCTTGTTGAAATATCGATACTCATATCGTTAGAACAAATATCGTCTTTAAACCGATGCATCGGTGAATCGTTGCACACCTTATTCTAGTAGATTTTTTCAGTTGCTATAGTTTTCCATCCGAACGTTTGTTGTGTTGCAATAGCGTTTCAGATTTCCATAATTTTCCTTGACCTATAACAATTTTTCCCAAGACCTTAAGTATGTCTTTTTTCTCTCTCTCTCCCAACTTAGTTCCGCTTGAGCCTCGCTTTCAGGCTTCCCTATCTATTACCCTTACCCCACCCCCCTGACCTAACACAAGGAACCAATCATCGAGGACCTTGGTTCCTTAGCGTAATTAATTATTAAGGCAACATGACTCACTTTATAGGGTCGTTTCATTTCAGGTTTCCGATAGCGAAGCCAGATGAGAGCAGACACCGTGACACCATAGAAAACCCAAGCAGCAAAACTGAAGTAGTTTATTAGCGTCTCAAAAGAGCTGGAGTCAGGCAGTAACATGATCCAGGCAATTATACTCTGCGGTCAAAAAGCAAAACAGGGAAAAGTGACGAAAAACTATCTGAAGAAAGTTGAATGGCTGGCCTTCCACGCAGACGTTCTTATAAGGCTTCGTCAGAACGAACGAACGTTCGTGGGGTAGGAACGCGTGAGGAAGCCCCAGGAACGTCTGCGTGGGAGGCTAGTGAGCAATAAGTGTGAAAAGATCGGTGAAATGGTAGCCGAATATGTTAAGTTATCACTCTCTCCTCCACAGAGGCTCCTGCTGGGTATCACAACAGTAAGAATTGCAATAATCGAAAAAAGGAAAGCGCGCGGGGGACGATGGGAAGGGGGAAGGCCGAGGCCTCGCTTCCTCTCTTTTCTCTTCCCATCGTCCCCCGCATGATTTTGCTTCTCCCCAGCCTCCCTACGACACAAAGAGGCCTCTGCGGAGGAAAGTTATAAAGTTATATTACAAAAGTATACAGTCAGCTCTCTCTAAGACGGACACCTTTGGGACCGGCACTAAGTGTCCGTCTTAGAGAGATGTCCGTCTTATAGAGAGTCAAATAAAGGGGAGTAAAGAAAGGCAGGGACCAACTCTAAGTGTCCGTTTTACAGAGGTGTCCGTCTTATAGAGGTGTCCGTTAAGAGAGAGTCGACTGTATTTAACGAACACGGGTTCTCAGTTCATAACATAGTCGCGAAAAATAACTGAATGAGCCTAAGATAATCTTCCTAAGCCAGACTTAGGAAGATTTACAAGAACCAAAATAAAATGCAGAAAGGAGCATATTTCACTGAGATTATAATGTCGGGAAGGCTGGATATTTTCCAAGTTCTTTTCTTGCAAAAAGAACAACAAAGAGAGAGAAAGAGAGAGAAAAGAACGGGCAATATGTAGCCTATTTTCACGGAAACTAGCGTTGTTAATACAGAATTTATTGTATAGCAGACAAAATGCTTTCCTGCATTCCGGCAGCAACAAAAAGCGGTAAAGCTGAGATACCCGAGCTGATAACCCATAGGCTGGCCCAACTTATCTGCTGGGTGAATTCCCCCCAGGAGGAGGGGACTCCCCTATATAAGCCATATAGACGTGTACCGCCCAAAAGTGTAGGGTTTTTTGTCCTTTCTGGTCTGAAAACGGGTATACTCTTTGCCCATTTTGATCTGGAATCGGGTATGGTCTTCGATGGAACTACGGGGGTGTATGAACTTATTTATCGTTTCAACTCCAAATGAATAAGAACGAAGTAGGAATTTGCGAATTGGATATGCATTTGGAGAAATTGTTTGTTTGCGCTCTAATCTAAAAAATGATGACATAATTTCTGTCTGAATGCCAGGTCTGAAAAAGGGTTTGGATTTTAGAGGTCTGGTCTGAAAACGGGTGTAGAAAATAACAGTTTTTGGTATGAAATAGGGTCAGGATTTGGAGAACTGGGCGGCACATACCCACTAAGAATTCCTAGGAGTACCGCCCCGGGGTGAATTCCCTTGATCAAGCCTGCTCGCCGCGAAGCCAGCGTATAGTAATGACAGTTTGTCTGTTGTCAATTCGGTTCTTTTGACCTACCGTGAACAGCATGGCGGGAAGGGGAGTGTGTCTCTTTGTGTGAATCATGGCAAGGAACTTGGGCAAATGTCCTTCTCGGGCGGCGGCGAATACTAATCTACAGTAACATAGAGAGATAATGTATGAATCTCGTTGTTGGGCTTATTTCTATGATAGAGCGAATTTCGTATGACCTTGAAATGAAAACGCGCGAACAAAACAGAAAGAACAAAAGAACGGAAATAGAGCGATTTGATTGGTTTATCGAACGGATACAAACGCACCTGGCTTTTAGTTGGTTAAGCGAACGCTCGGCTGCAAAAAATTCATGCCCGAAGAACTTTCTAGAAATCGCTTTGACGTCATACTGAAACACGATTGGCCAATCGAACAATGCCTTCGCCATATTAGGGTTTTCTTTGGCGGGAAAACGAAGAGTCCATGTTTTGTTCTGTTCAACCACTGGCTGATAAAACAAACAACGAACACTTACCGAAACCATTTTTCAAGGACATACGACAATCGCTCTAACTACAGGGTCCATTTGTTCAAAGTTAAGTTAGCTCTAATAGGAAAGAATAAATCTCAAATGTACCTTTGAATAACCTAGTATCTTCATCATGATTTACAAATATTCATGAATAAATCTATCCGGAGGGATGATCAAGAAGTTAACCCTTTAAGTTCCAAGTGTGATCAACATCAATTTTCTCCTAATCATATCGACACATAATCAAGAGTAAAGGTTATGAGAATTCATAAAATGATCACCTACAGGAAAATACTTTGATCTGCTATCAAATTCTCCAAACTAATTGTTGATGGAAATGTATAGAGATCTGTTTGAAGAATTGTATGAGGATATCAGGCCTTTATTGGTTAAGCTGTATATATGTCTGGCCATAACACGATTCAGTAAGGCCCTTTGTAGTAACTATATCATCATGTTCACAGAAGCTGCCAGGCCTAGATAAGAGCAACAGTAAGTAAGACTTAACCAATATAATAAGCAGAATTTCAGTACGCTGAAATACCAACCTTCCACCACTAAAAGCTGATCCGTTAGCTGCTCCAAATGTTGAAGATGCAACAAATATTGGAATAACCCAGGCCATGACGCCGTACAAACGATCTGCTAAGGTCTAAAATACAATGTTTGAAAACCGGGATTAAAACTCTCCTGTTTACCTTCCCTTGAGTTCTGTAACTGAAGTTTAGCGGAACATCGACACACTGGGCTAAACTTGAGCACAAACGCTCTCAAATTTGGTCAAATTACTCTTTTAAAACAACTCAAAAATTCCGAGCAACAAATCTCTCTTAGTAACTTTTAAGTTAAAATAGAAAGTGCCTTGCTTGTAGCAACAACAAAATGACAAAATTTAAAATAATCAAGGTTATTACCATCGTTTTTTAAAGAACGTTAAAAACCGGTACAAATGGAGGGATAAGTGACAGGAAAATGTCACGTGGTCATCTCCACCGTTTTAACGCAGAATGAAGCCAACTACGACGGCGACGGCAGCGAGCCTCCATTTATCTTTTGCTGCCGCGTTTTACTTTTTTAGTTTACTGGTAATGCATCAAACTTGCAAGCAAGCTCTTGATTGAGTGGAGGGTGGTTTTAAGACAAGAGTCCGTTTGCAGCGTAAGCCGTCTAACTACTTTCCTTCATTTTGGCACACATATCGTTTGACCTCAGTGAAATTAGACTGAGCTCGACTTCCGTGCTGTCTCCGGTCCAGTAGGGACCTCACGAAACTACGACGGCGACGGCAATGCTGGGGAACGCCTAAAACACAATAGGCGCTTTTTCGTACATTTCTGCGCCGTCCCTACTTTCTCAAAAACGGGAACAGCAAGGCGAAAATCTCTGTCTGAATTCGGACCCGCTTATTGGAATAACCGCGAAAAGATTTGAAAGGATGTGAAGACAGTTTCTCTGCGACGCTTTCTTCGGCAATGCCATGGTCGGATCGTAAGGTCACTAGTCTATTTCTTGGGTGGCGGCTAGAGCTTGAGACAGACTAAACCTAAGAGGCGACAATTGTTACTTACCACGGCGACAGCACTTGACTCCATGACTTCCGCGGGCGTTAGTACTGCCAAATAAGCGATATTTACCAGCACGTAACAGACCGTTACTAGGGGAATGCCAATTAAAATGGACAGCGGCAAGTCTCTGTAAGAAAACAATTAAGAGAAGATCATATGAGGGTTTTGCATCCCTATCACACTATCACTCAAACGGACGCGCAAGCCGCGAGCCGCCGGAAGCTCTAAACGTTTCACAGCGAATAAGAGTCACACGTGCACAAAACTCACGTTTTCGAGGGGTTGGGAGTGGGGAGGATAGATGCCTTTAAAAGTTGAAGTTAGTGAAAACGGGAAGGCCATGATGCTGACGTTACTTCAAAGGCTAAATCGCTTGACAACGTAAGAAATGAATAGAAAATGGCTTCCTGCCAACTATGCATCTCAGCTGATCTAAGTTAATTATTTGTGTCTTTTAGGTTTATTTATTCTTATTATATTACATTTTAAATTGTATATTTATATATTTTTTAATGAGTTTTAGGTGAATTATTGTAAAGCACCTCTGATCATTTTAATGGAAGAAGCTGGTGCTATATAAGTAACTGAATCATCATCATCATCATCATCATCATCACACTAATAACAATAATAATAATTATTATTACTGTCTTACCGATAAGGATTCTTCAGTTCTTCCGTGACGTAGTTCAAATTATTCCTGTACGTTAGAAAAAAGTAAATTTATAAATAATGGTGAAGAAACAAACCAATTCAGCAAAACATACCGTACATCCTCAAATTTAGGATAAGGCGTGGGAGAGGGCGAATATTGGAAGGGGCGCTTATTTGAGTAGAGGCGCTTATTTGATGAATCAATTTTTAGTGCAAACAACATGACCTAGGTATTAAAATACAAAGTTGTTCAGTAGTTTATAACTGAGACCGGCGCCAAGAGAATCCTAGCACTGCCAGCAGAAAAAGATTGGAGGACTGACTTACCAGCCATCATAGGCCCACAAACCATTGTAAAACGCAAATCCCACAAGACCAATTCTGCTTGTTGTACCGCTAAACGAATTCTGAAAACTTTCTGTGTATCCTGTGAAAAATAACACCAAGAGAAATCTTCAAATAAAGATGATAAACAACTTTTAAGCGGATGTTGTTTCAAAGCAGTTTTTAGCGGCAATGGATTTTTTAGTAGAATCTCTAGACTACAAGTAGACTGTCATTTACTTTGGGGATAAAAAAGAGAGCGAATTTTTTTTAACATGCTTGTTGTAATGAATATCGCCACCCGCGAAAATGGCAGAGAGAGCAAAATACGCGAACGTGTGGAAATACGAAATTTGCCTCTTCCCTTCGCGTTTCACCTTACTCGCAGGTGGCGATTTTTAAGAAAAGCTCTCGTATTTTGCTCCCTCTATTATCCCTGAGGAAAATTTCGTTCCTACCTGAACGAGCGCGCGAGGGTAAAGGGGAGAGAAGGCCTCTACTCTTTTTCTCCCCTCTTATGTATGCGCGTCCTCAAAATTCCTCCCTTCGCCCTAAAAACCGGCAGCAGAGGTTTCTGAAATTCCCTGACTTTTCCCTGATAAATGTAAAATTTCCCTGACCAACTGAATTAACAATTTCACAAATTATGCTCCCCTCACAGCTATCCCTTCCACCCATTTATTTATGCTTTCAGCAAGTCAAGTGCGGTGTACATGAATTTATAGTTCCTTCACAATAACGTGCAAAAAGGATTGATTTTACTGAAACCAAACATCATCAGCTTAGATAGATAGATAGATAGATAGATAGATAGATAGATAGATAGATAGATAGATAGATAGATAGATAGATAGATAGATAGATAGATAGATAGATAGATAGATAGATAGATAGATAGATAGATAGATAGATAGATAGATAGATAGATAGATAGATAGATAGATAGATAGATAGATAGATAGATAGATAGATAGATAGATAGATAGATAGATAGATAGATAGATAGATAGATAGATAGATAGATAGATAGATAGATAGATAGATAGATAGATAGATAGATAGATAGATAGATAGATAGATAGATAGATAGATAGATAGATAGATAGATAGATAGATAGATAGATAGATAGATAGATAGATAGATAGATAGATAGATAGATAGATAGATAGATAGATAGATGATAGATAGATAGATAGATAGATAGATAGATAGATAGATAGATAGATAGATAGATAGATAGATAGATAGATAGATAGATAGATAGATAGATAGATAGATAGATAGATAGATAGATAGATAGATAGATAGATAGATAGATAGATAGATAGATAGATAGATAGATAGATAGATAGAAACTTTATTTATGTGTCAAGAAAGAAAAACTAGCCGAGGGGCAGGCCCTCTACTAATAGGGGACACCTACAGTTAAAATATAATAGGTACAATAATTAAGTAGATAAAAAAATCCATACAATATGTTACAAATTGTTAGCTAAAATACTAAAGCTGAGGACTAAAATGCTAAAATTATTTCCGATGAGACATCAACTATCACACAGAAGACATCCTTTGCATCTAACATCAATAAGAGATGTCAGATCCTTATTACGCATTCGGGTTCTAAAATCACTTAATGATTTACACGTTTTATCATTTTTGTCCAATGTTGTTCAATTTCATGAACAACATTCTACCAAACGCGATTCATGTCCGTAAAATGTACAAATGTACTCTTAAAATGTCATTTTTCCCTGACTTCTTTCAATCACTTAAATTTTCCCGGACTTGAAGTGAAATTTCCTGACTTTTCCCTGACCTGTGGCAACCATGAGTAATGTGTTTTCCCGCGCTTGACTTTCGCAAAAACGCTGCATCTTCAAACGCTTCATGCGATGTAAACAGTTCGCCTCGGTTATGTTTTTTCTAACCTTCGAACAGGAAATCGCCCATAAATCATCAAATTCGAGCAGGTTGAAACACATGGCACCAAATCTCAGTGAAATTGCCGCTAGTTTGCGAGCACGAATTAAAATCGAAACTTACAGTCTTATTAAAAATAAAACCACAGAAAATCGGCTGTGTTTAAGAGCCCTTGTAAGAGCAACTGGTATCAGTATGATTCAGTGGGAAGAGGAGGCGATAAGATGGTAGTGTTGAGGGCCCTTTAGAAATAAGGACCCAATGTTTGTCAAGGTGAATATAGCTCAACACCGTGGATGAATCTCTAGCACCGAAAAAGCTGGAAAATTCTCTCGTTGTGAGAAGTTAAAAAAACTTAAATATAAGCATAAAAGCGGTGACATCCTCACCTTGTCCAAGGCGAACAATACCAGTGATAATCAACATGACTATTGCCGCCATCTTGCAAACAGTGAATACGATTTGCATCCGCGAGGCCCACTTCACACTCGCACAATTCACAAACAGAATCACCGCTGCAATGAAAAGAAGTACAAATTTAAGTCGACTCAAACAGAGGCTGGTATTCTATAATCTCTATTGTTTTCATTCCAGTATGACTGAAAAGGAAACAAAGCGACAGAAAAAAAAATGTGTGGGTACTTGTTGGGCAATACCTAGCCTGAGTGGCAGGCGTTCGAAAGGGAAGGGGAAGGGATTAAGGGCGCGAGATCGTGCACGAGGGAAGAGGGGAACCTTTCCTTTCTCCCTCGCACGCCCAAATTCCCCCTTCCCCTTCCCCTTTTAACGCCTGCCACGCAGGCTAGGCAATGCCAAAAAACTGCATCCTGCCAAACACTGATAATCAACACTGGTTAGTCGCAGAAGATGACCGGGACTTAACAGTGTCACAAGGTTTGGACCTTTTCTCTAACCTGCTAAAACTTTTGAGCCGGATAGTAAATATCTAGAATAGGCATTCACGTAAACAAATAACCCGGAAATAAACTCTAAAAGCTCTCCATGGAATTTCCTTGGGGATTATTCCTCTTTGATAAAGGCACTTTTCTTTCCTATGGGGCAAAATCCGTGAAATTGTCGATGGAAAAGACTGAAAAAAACCGACTTAATGTCGTCCAATAACGAAAGTCCATGTTTTCTTGGGCTTAAAATAAATTTTTCAAAATGTTTTCTTCTTGTAAATTCTGAGGACACACACTGACGTAAGATAAAATTCTCTCCAAACAGAGATAACACGTCCCAGGAATTGAGGTCGTTTCGCCCTGCGACGTTTTGCCGAGACTTAAGGCAATTCGCCCGATGACATTCTACAGCTCGGTGAAACGCTTATCAGAGATGTTATTTTAGTTAAGCTTGGATTCCACATGTGCAGTCCATATCTTCATGCTTATCCCGTTTTTCAGGCTTAAAACAACGACAGACATCGAACAAATCGACTTAAGTACGGGCGAAACGACCCGATACCGCGTGGCAGATGTAATCTTGGTGCCGCCTGTGGTGCACGCTATGGCAGTCTAAAATGTCAGCCGTCTCCATCCCCTGGAAATAGAACAGGCAGGCTCTCACCAATGCACAGGGCAGCCAATATCTTCACCAAAACGTCTAAGTCTGGTCGCTCCGAATCTTGACTGACACACGAGGGAAAAAAGGGCTCGGCGACATAACTTCCAAAAGCCAGGGCGATGATGGCCGTTTGCGCCGGCCTGAGAAGGACGACCGAAGTCCAACTGTACAGAAATGCGGGCAGCGCACCTAAACCTTCCAGGAGGTACACAAACTCGCCTCCAGATTTCGGAATCATGGTTCCCAACTCGCAATAACACAAGGCACCGAGCATTGCGATAATACCGCATCCTGCCCACACTGATAAAGTCAAACCTACAGAGCCCGCCTGACTGAACACTCCACTGGCTGAAGCGAATATTCCGCTACCAATCATTGTACCTACGATAAGGGAAATGCTTCCGCTAAGGCCGACTTGCTTCTCCAGCTGAAGAGCTTGATTGTTGGCGGGATTTATTTTGCTCTCGTCGCGACTACAGTCGGCTTGACTTGCCAGTAAATCAGCCTGGCTTGTAGCGTCATGGTAGCTATGGTTTCTCATCTCATTTTCTTCCATTATGCCCAACTGCAAAGCCCAACTGGTAAGGAGGAAGGAGTCAAAGAATGCTGCTTTTTGCTAATATCGACTACTTGTAACTGGTTAGGTGTCGCTTGGTTAATATTTTGTATTGTCGGGCTATCAACTGATTCCCTGCTGTTAAAGGAGAATACGTTTTGGTATAACACAGATCCTCTGGGATAGCCTCCCCGCAGCGCAGACGTTCTTTAGGCTCGTCACGCAATCCTCCCCTTGAGGCAGGAACTCGTGACGAACCCCCAAAAACGTCTGCGTGGAAGGATGGTCGAGGGCGCCCGAGTATAGAAAAAAAAACCGAGGGAGATTTACTGACCGCAAGCACAATGGAGTGTCGCCCTGGTTCTCACGCTCCGCGCGCGCTTTCGAATTATCGATAAAAAGAAATACGTCTGTGATCCAACACTGATCTGGCTACTGTTCACCACAAAAATTGTTTACATCAAAAATCACTGCAGAAATGGTACTTCCAGCAATTAAATCACCGCCACATAATCAGAAAGCGGTTATGTTTTTCCTGTATGCGCACCTTCAGATTAGATAGCCTGCATAACAGGCGCTTTACAGGCGTTTCGCGCGAACCATCCACGAGGCGAGGGGGAGGAGAAAAATCGCCTCGCAATTCGCGCGAAAAGCCGGCTCATAAAGCGCCAGTTATGCAGGCTACAGATTAGATTGACACCAGAAAACCTGCTTTTCTCTTTACAAGAACCAAACGTAACCACGAGAAAAAACTGATGATGGCTTTAAATGACTCCTAAACTGTAAATTTTAAGAGCAAAACCCGCAACACTGATTTTGAAAATGGTGAAGACCCCAATATCCCTCACTTCTATGCCGTTAAAGGCACGATGAACCAGCAACAAAGGATATTATATTTCACTTGATGGTTGTGACCATACAAAGCACGGTTTTTGACAAAAAATTATAATAACTGGACGTTACAAATTGTTAAGTATGACATTATGAGCAGATGAGGGGCAGTAAAACATCTTACAAACAAAATAAATATTTTGAAAATTACAAATAAATTTATTTATCGAGTTTAACTGGAAAAAACAAAACAAAACAAAACAAATTTGCCATTTGCACAATGATACATAATACACCTTGTTTTCGCCACAAAATTTTGCATACCCTTTGTTTTTTTTTTTCATTTATCCTGGGTGCAGATGTCCCAAGAAAAATTGGAAGACAATGGTTTTGCAAAATTTTGGGAAAGTGTATTGTGGGAGATGAGCAAATGGCAAATTTCTATTAGTCTAAGAGTAGTACGTAAACTTCTTAGTTCAAAACATTGTGAGGTGGCATATTGCAAGTATTTCTGAGAGAAAATGTTCTGGAGGGAGTTATCCAACCTTGAAGGATTTAGAGCCGGTTGTGGGTTGTGATAATTAAGGCTAGGTCAGCCTGGTATGGTATTTTTGGTTGGCCCTAAAGGGCTTGTCAATAAATTCGTTGGCGACCTTGTGTCATTGTTCTTCACTAAAATTTTCAGCCTTTCAATGGTGCCTCTGTATGTTAACATCAAATTATTCTTATCGATAACACGTGACAGATTCAAAGAGTTGTCAAATAATTCATCAACCTGTCAAATATCTCAAGTTTCAGGATTTTTTGTACTTATTGCCTGCCGTGCGGATATGTACATTTATCAGTCGAGGCAGGCCAATCGATATCTCGCTGACTTTAACTGAGACTTTTTACGAACAGACCGGCATTGGACAGGTGCTTGAAGAAAAAAAGGCGATCTTACATTTAGATGTCAGTTTCGATATCTGGACATTACATCCCACACTGATCGAAAACAAACTAAATGTGAATGGTATTAACGAATACCCTTAGTTACGAATAAAAAATACAACCCATCGCGCGCTTTAAGTTACCAAAACTAGCAAAAGTACATTGCGATCGAGGGAGCCTTATAGTCATAACGCACCTGCAGAAAAGTATAGGACAAACTTGCAGTCGCACCAGTTTCACTTTCTTAAGTGTTTTGGTCGACAAAACACGAATCGATGATTTTTACGAGCTAGAAAACGTTCTCGAAGAAAATATCGAAGCAACATTCGACGCCTGGGTGCGTGATGCAATCAGTGTGAGAATAGAAATTGAACCAATTAACGACGCAAAAATTGTAAATGGAGTTTTTATTAAATATGCCGTTTTGTGATAAAGCTAGAATTTTGAGCATTAGTACATGCTAAAATTGCTCAAAAGGGAGTAAAATTAGAAACCGATAACAGAGTTTTGAAGATGTTTAGAAGTTACAGCAAACACGACGAAACTGTCGTGCGCCTTAACACGCCAACGAGATGTCGATGACATTCCCACTCAGCTTGTCGTCAGAATGATTACACAACATTCGTTTGCATTTTGTTTGTTTATACTGTTTTTTAACCAGGTAAAACAAGACAAAACGAAACAAGAGCCTCTGAAAAATTTGGTGTTTTCGGTCCCCTCATTTATTTTTGCAAATGTCAAAATTGCGCAATATCTTAATTTTTATGTTTTGTACTCACCTATCGCGATGGCTGCTAGGAGTTTCACGGCGGGCTGCAGGTTCTCTCGGTCACCACAGCCGGGAAAGATCGGCTCGATCACGTAGGCGCCAAACGCCAGACAGATAATAGCAACTTGCGACGGCTTAAGCACAATGACAGAAGTCCATGAGTACAGAAAAGCCGGCAAAGCACCGAACCCTTCGAGCAAGTACACATATTCTGCACCTGACAAAGGTATCATTGTGCCCAACTCCGCGTAACTCAGTGCCCCAAATATCGCTAAAACACCGCACAGCGACCAAACAATTAGTGTCAGTCCAACAGAACCGCTGTTCTCCATCACATAGCGAGGAGATGCGAATATTCCCGAGCCAATCATAGTGCCGACGATCAGACATATTCCGCTTACAAGACCGAGCTTTCGTTCCAAACCGACAAACCCCCTTTCCTCCTGTCCTGTCCTCGAAGCGTCACTATCATCCGCTAACAGGTTGTCTTCAGTCTTGTCCTTAGCTTCCCTCGGCAAATATTCATCGCTTCCCCAATGGTTGTTTAGCTTTTCGTTGTCGTTCTCCATCTTGCCAAGTTCGCTGGCAACTACAACTATAAAATTGTGCGCGGGATGCTAGCCTGCACGTGTGTATGTCCAGCTTATATTATGGAAATCAGGGGTCTCGAGGGTCACTCAAGAATCGGCAAAAATAATCGCACAAGTCGCAGACAGCCAATAGAAATTTGGAAAAGCGGGAACAAGATTATTTCTTTTTATTATGACAGACAAACCCACTTAATTTATTTAAATTACGGCTCGTTAATCCATGCCCTATTCATTAACTAGAATTTGTTTTGGCTTGGCGGGAATTAGCTTAGGCGCGAAGACGCGTGAACAAAGGAGATAGCAATTCTTGAAAATAAATCACACGATCTGTTGATTGAGCTCTTTTCATCAGCTTATTCATGTTAAACTTTTGCATAGCGGAGTATCAGGGATGTCAATTTAATCCCCTGGTACCTCACGAAGACACGAATACTTTTCAGCTGTCACGCAAATGCTGTCACTTTGCCTTAAAATTTCACGTGCGATTGTTTCGACATCTTCGACACCAGTGAGTTCCACAGTTGATAGGAGAAAGGGGTATTTTGATTTGAGTAGTTCGATGCTATCACGGTCGTCCTTAAATGCTATCGCATTTTTGGAAGGAGGCCTGAAACCAAAACAAAATCTTTGCCAGAATTTTTCATATGAGTGAAAACAATGGATGTTTAAAACGCAGAGACAAGTTATGGCAAATGATACTTCGCTTCCTTTTATGCTTATATATAGTGGGAGACGAAAATCCGTTTTGGAGGACTATTAAAATCATAACCCAATTTCCAAACGAGATGTAAAAATGTCTTTTGGAAGGCCAATAACTCAGTCGATCCAGTTTCAGTAGCCTGAGATCATGCCCTCACCCTCTATGTTTCACAGGTTCTTTCTTTTTGTTTTTTCTTTCCTTTTCTTTTCTTCTCACTTTTCTAGAGTGGAATAATTATACGATATTTTTTAGGAAACGTCCCTCGAACAAGCGCTCACCCCGTCGACCAAAATGAACTTGTCATGAGCTGTTTCCGGTGTCGTCACGCAACGCTCCCCCACTCCCAATACCCGGCTTCCAGGAGGAGCGTTGCAGACAACACAAAAAGACTGCCTCTTCATTTCAACACTTCTTTACGGACGTCACAAAAAGCCCCTTTTCCCACTTGACTGATATTTAAAGTTTTGAAGAAATAAATAAAAAAGCAACCTCCTTTGGTATGATAATTTGGTACCGTAGTCTACATTACACTCGCACATGATAGGCTCCTGACTCGCATAATAAAAAGGGTCAAAGAAGTCATTTATACGGTAGCCTGCGTAGCAGGCGCTTGGAAGTAGCGGGCGAAAGAGAGAACGGGCGCGCCCGTTTTTTCCTGTGCCCACTACTTCCAAGCGCCTGCTACGCAGGCTATTTATACGGCAAACATCCGCTAACACATTAAAAACCTACTTATTTTGAAGTCTGGCAAAGTGGGCTCTTGTATTTTGGGGTACTTATTGGCAATTTAGGCTAAATAGCATGAGCCAATATAGACAGCATACTGGACCCTTGAGGTTCAAATCCACGGCGCATCAGATAGTCTAACCGTATCGTCTCCATTTATCCACCAGCTGGTTCAAACAGTTTCAAATAATTTTCTACAATCACGGAAATCTGAAAGGAAAATCACGCATCACGCGTTATGAAAATTGTCTACCACGCATCACGTGCTATGCCCACATGCCTCACGCAGTTTGGCCCGATCACGCATCACGCTGATAATTTGGGACACAACACGCGTCACAGAAAGCCCCTTTGCCACCCGGTTCAAACACAGTGCACCTGTTTACGAGCTGATAAATTGACTGGTACCCATAAAAGACAATGGCGCGCGGGAGACTTATTATTTGAAAATTGATTTAATACCACTATAAAAAAGGAGTCGTAATTTTAACATCTCCTTGCAGTGACGGTTGTTTTGGCTCAGCAAAACACCAAACAACACGAGTGAATCAAGGTCCAGTTTAATTACCCGCCATAAATTAAGATTCCAATGGACACAGCTCTGATATGTCGAAACTTGTACGGCGATCGCATTTTGATCTGTTTCTGCGAATTAGGAGCAATCACCTTCAATTCCGGATACGACCAGGAACTTTTTGGAATGGTATTGTAAGTGTATTTCCTCTCGAAATGCGATCGGGATGAGCTTGAAATAGACGGGGGATTATTTCCGAGTTTGTTACGAAGACATTTTAATCAACGATCGGCTAACTTCGGAATTCTTCGCCACGGAAGAGCCAATTCTCTGCCCAGTTTCTCACGGACGAAAATATTGGCAGCTGTGCAAAAATGGCGGATCTTTAACCTTTGTATGAGTAAAGGAATCTTTCGGCTTCTATTCAGGCCAAGGAGATCTCCCTCTAAAAGGGAGCAAACAGAACGTTGGAAGAAAAATGGCTACTAGGAATCTAACGGAGATTTATATCAATCTTCGCACTGAAATTAGTCGTTTCAAGGCCTATTCACTCGGTGACTCCGTACGTAGTGATAGCCCTGGGGTACTGTACTGACATATACTGCCGCCAAAACATACACTGTGTGTTTTATGTTGTACCAGATGGAGAACTTTCCTGATGATGATTTGTTTTGATTTAATTTAACCAGGACGATGACACAGTAGCACTCGTTCGAAGAACAAGCGATCTCGAACTTGGCGTTCAAACCGGAGGAATAAGCTCCTTACCTCCGCAATGGTGGGTATGATTTTCTTGGTAATCGTGGAATTTAGAGTGTGAGGATGATGTTTTTTCTAAACTTACTTCTGAAATAGAAATTTATTTGCCAATATAGCTATATTCAAGATACGAGACTGTATGATCTAGTAACGTATGATTAAATGCATGTATGTTAAAATACAATGCATGGATTATTGTTTTTGACTAACAAGTCAGTCTTTGAATGATAAAAACTTCTGCATCGCTTAAGCCTCCTTTCCCATAATCGATTTTTTATTAAGGCAAAGTTCTAAAATAGTGAATGACAAAACCACAGCTACTTTCAACTATTGTTTATCAGGAAATGAACAAAAAACAAACACAAAAACAAGCCAATATGTTCTTAGCTGTTGTGTATGTAAACTTTCGTTTTGATTTGTGTTAGATTATGGGAATGAAACTGAGATAGGGACCATAAAAATTGGCTGGCTTGAAATTTTTCAGTTCAAAGACAGTTTTCCAATGTAGATTTGTCTTTTGCTCAGTAGATATTCCAAAGCATTCTAATTCATTTCCTTTAATTTTCCAGGGTTGATGTTGTGGAAGAGGTAGGTATAAGCTATAGAACTTCACAAGTTTTTATCTCGCCCAAAAATTTACAGTAGAACCTGGGTAACTCAAACTCTGAAGAGAAACAAAAAACAGTTCAAGTTAGCGGGGGTTCAAGTTATAGGGGTCGATTGAATTGTCAATCTTCTGTGTAAATATTGATAGTTTACTGATATTTCAGCACTTCAGTATACAGCAGAGTGCAAATTAAATTTATCTCATTAAAAATTGTGACACATCTAGACTATACAGAAATATTTTACTGCATGAAAACAATAAGTTAACCAGAAAAGACAGCAAACAGCTTATAAGAGAAAACAACCCACAAACCTATCATGATACACGGACCTTATTCAACCGAGACTATTAGTAAATATGATCAATAAACAGTAATCTATAATTTATAGTCAACATTAAATGCCTTGTGGCACAAGATAAAAATATTTATACGTTTCAAGATTCTTTCCTTTTATTTTGTCACGTTTCTTCAACTTATTAAAAAACGAATTACGCGTGTAGTTTGTTTGCATTTTGTGACCTTGAAAAGTTTAAAGATTACTCAAATCCACTGGCACATACATCAAAAAATGTAAATAGATCAAATGGTCGATAACAGATTTTTTACCATAATATGAGTTTGGTTCAAAGTACTGAAGAACACGAACTTAAATTGTTTTTTGTTTAAAAACGATTCATCTTGAAGCTCAATAATTGACATTTTTAAAGTGAAAACCCTACACATACTTTACCTTCTCACTCTTACAGTGTACATATACAGAACATCTTCAGTAAAATACGAGTTGTGTATATATCAGTGTCATGTGTGAGTGAAATTAATTTATATGGGTTTTTTTAAAGTTCCCATTTTCAATGGCTTTTAGTTTACACCTCAATAAAAGTTATGCCTGTTAAAGCAAGCTGTGAACTTTCAAAGTTTATCGAAACTCGCTAATGCTAACATCAATCGTGCTTGTTGAACAGGGCGCAGAGACACAGAAATTAGGAGAAGCATAACACTTGATCATGCACAAATTTAATGATGCAGTTACAAACAAAAGCAAACACTCTGGACCACATTAAGAACAATACTGTAAGCTCTAGTATGCTAAGTCACCAAACCTTGTACCAAACTTGTAGTAACTTGCCTCAGTACTTTATTTCTCTCAAATTAGTACACCTGTACTTAACGCTCCTGGTGTAGCTTTGTATTCTGGAAGCTTTGTTGCTCATTTGCCCTCTCGCTAATAAGGCTATGAGATGAAATTGTGTGCAAATTTCTCAAAGTTCCTGTTTTGGCCAGACAAGACTAGTGTTCTTCATCCTAATCTGAAATTTAGACCTCCAAAAAGGCGTGTGTTGCATTAAACAGAAATAAATAAATCTTTAAACAGACTCTTTGAAGACGGACAGACATGTTTTATGGATCAAGCAAAGCCCTCTAGGTTACTGGGTTGATAATTAAAAGTGTTCATTTTTTAATGTAGGAGACCAAAAAATTCCAAAATCAAATTTATGAACTGGGCATGCCTTGAGGCAGCCCAGTTAAAAGCTAATGGGAGGGCATTTGTGGTAAGTTGCAAGAACCAGAATTTGAGTCATCAATGTAAATTTTGATGAAGGGAAACAAATGTTATTATTTTTAGTTCGAGTTACCCAAGTAAAAGTGACTAAAGAGTTGGGTCAAATCCAAGGGAAGTGAGACTGGAGTTAGCGGGGAATATGAGTTATCCAAGTTCAAGTTACCAGGGTCCTACTGTATATTTTTAATTTTTATTTCCTCTTGTAGAGTGTCAAGGTTTGAATTTATCAATTCCTTTCTTCTTTTTTACGTAGATTCAATATGAAATTACTAGGATAAAGCAAAGAAGTAAGTTTAAGCTTAAGTTAAATTGCTGTAGGCAGTATATTAGATTCTATATCAGGGTTTTCATTAAGAATTCTGGTAGCAGGAGAAACGTGTAACATTACAGGAGAATATTTTAGAAGAGGCTCCTCACGTAAATCAAAATAGTCATAGCAGGGTTGTCAAAGGTAGCCGGCTGCCGGCGAAAAATATCGCCGCCTACTTGGTTAGTATCGGCCGGCTACTCTGCTTAGCATTTCTTTACAAATGGCATTTTTAAATAAAATATCTCTGGACTGGCCGCTTACTTTAACAACTCAGCCGTCTACTTCAAAACTTTCTGACAACCCTGTATAGACTACCGAACATTAGCCGGAGAATTTTGTGTAGTAAACTGAGAATTCCCCAATCTCCGATGCCTAATGAACACCCTGCTATGTGTTTGTTTTTAACAGTTTGTTTTCTGATGTGTCATCACCTTTGTAGTGTTACAACTATGAGAATTTTGAAATATTCCTCCAAACTGTTACTGATTTTTTTTTATTTTTATGGTAATTACTTGAGTATCGAAAATGTTCTAATAGGAGAAAAAGGGAAAAGGTAATTGAAGATTGGAATCATTTTTTTTAGTGCAAGAGTTGTCAACTCTTCATGATCGACACCTGAACAGACCAACGCTTGATGACAGTGTAGATGAAGAACAGACAATAGAAATAACTACGAAGGAAATCACTCAGGTTTGTACTCCAGCCTTATGCCAATGAGTACTGTTTTTAGACAGGTGCGTTTTTAGGAAGAGGGGAGGTTTTCCTGCGGTGTACTCCCTATAATGCCCTGTATGACGAGGCTCCACCCCAAAGGGCAGGGATTTCACTAGTGGAAGTATTTGAAAGGGCAGGAACATTTATCATTTTGACCTGTTAAAGGACCCAATAGGGCTAACAGATGCATTTTATGGCTGTGAAAAATTCAAGAAAACTTTCTAGTTTTGTGATTTATTCATATTTAAAGTCAGTGCATTTTAGCCTATAGAAGGGATCAGAGTTAAATTAGGTTTGTGAAGGGAGTACCACCTCTCAAAAGAAATTTTATGAAAGGGATACCTTTTTTGTCAGAAATGGTATGTAAAAGGACAAGGGGTTGGACCTTGGGGTGGAGCTTCTTGCTATATATCCCCATATATATGTAACTTTGTTGAGTTCCCCTTCCAGGGGACAGTATGTAGTATTACTCTTGGCTGCACCATGCTATGGAAACGTTGACGAAATTTAGACAATTGGCTTACTCAACAAAAATTGTATTTAACCTTTTACTCCTGCTAACAGCCAATGTAAACAAATTGACAAAAATTCCGAAAAAAAAAAAATTTGTAAGGAATTATATTAGCAACATGCAAATGTTATTTCTGAGAGGTTTTAGAGAATTTCTTGACACCTGATTTGCATACAAACACTTTCAGTAATTTCTCTTGCATTTACCTTGCTGACTATAAAACTGAAAACCACATGATTTGTATTTCTTTTATTGTTAGATGTTCCATCAGTGTCAAGGTTCCATTCAAAGAATAGGGAGGCAAAGTAGAGGCACTTCAAAGCAAGAACAACGTCTTCTCAAAAATGTCATGTCATCACTAGCTGTCAGTCTGCAGGATCTGTCCCTGAACTTCAGGAGAGGACAGTCATCATATTTGAAAAGTGAGTATTTCAGATGTCACTGGGTTTGGTTATTTTGTGGTTTAGTGCACCCTAGAACCCGAAATTCTTATTACTGTTGGTTGCATCTAAGCGTGGACACGAGACCAAAAAACATGTTCTAATAGGGTGCCAGACATGACCTGTTTTGCCACCAAAAATTTGAAGTTTGACAGCTGTTAAAGCAAACTGTCACTCCACAGGTTAAGTTGTTTACATGTTTTTGATCAGCACGTTCCTTTCATCTTTTATTTTTCTCAAGTTTCAGTAATATTTCTTGCTCAGAAACAGCACACTTGCTTTTAAGAATTATTCTTTAGGGATTTGCAACTCTCTAAATTCGATAAACAGCTACCTACTTTGCACATGAACATTAGTCCAACGTCACCCCAAACTTCAACAGTTTGGCGCCAAAACGTGTCCTGTTTTCACCCGATTAGAACATGTTTGTATACTACTGCTACCCTAAAATAAGGACTCTTTATGCTTACCGTTCCCTTTCACAACAAGAATTTGCCTAAAGTGAGAGTATAGTGTGTATACTGTAGTGAGAGCTTGACATGATTTTTGTAGCCAGAAATACAATGTAAATGACAGTGTTACTCTCCCCAGTTGTAGTATAGGCCATCCTTTCCTAGGATTATTTCATCATTACAGTGTGTTTAATAATACTGTTCCGGTTTAAAAAAAAACACATTATGGAAAGTTGAGACCTTCAACTCTTTTGTACTGGCCTCCAGTTTGGAATTCAAAATGTACTGTTGCATGTCTGCATGACTTCCATCATCATCCATTATTGTGTTGTTTCAGAAAATATTCATACTCCCCGCAAGGATGGTATTTTGGTTTAAATGCCCTCAACCCTCTGGAAATTTTAGTTTAGTTTCATACCTTCCTTTAAAAAATATTTTAGCCTTTAAGACCCCCCTCCCCTTTGCAATTTCCAGTGACCATCCTTGGGGTGGGTATGGATATTTTCTGGAACCACATATTTTAAGGTTGACACACTGATTCATTTAGATACGTGCTGGTAAGGCTTTAGCGAATTTCCCTTTTTAGGACTGAAGAATCGAGAAGAGAGGGAAAGACAGTATTTTGACACTGGTCTCCCAGCTACCAGCAGTGCACTCATGAATGAAGATGTTGTTGAGGATGATGAACTTTATGATAGAGTGAGTGATCTTCTTCATTTAACCAACCATACACAGCTGGCCCCGGTTGTTCAAACGTTGGATAGCGCTATCCACCGGATAAATCACTATCCAGCGGATAGCTTAATTGATTTCCGTAATACTTATCCGCTGGATAGTGATTTATCCGGTGGATAGCACTATCCAACGTTTGAACAACCGGGGCCTGTAGTGCCAAATGATCTCAATTCAGTCATGCACAAGTTGCAATGTCTCATTAGAGCTGTCAGTTGATTGGTATAGTAATGTTTACAATATTTTGAGCTGGCATGATTAATATTTTGTGAGCGCTGTTGAAGCTCTTGTGAGCAAACATCCCTGGGAATTGGACGAGGGAATCACTCTTGCATACAGCCTATTGCGTTACAAAGGATAAGAAAGTGCATATACATACGCAACTTAACTGTCTGTGGCTGCTGATAAAAATAATAACTTACAAGAGACTAAGTGGGAGTGTAAATGGTGTTTTGTAAACTGTGTCAGCTGTAAGTAGGTATGTCTGCTCACAGGAGCTTTGAGTTTATGGTTTTATAGGCACAGGTGTTTCAGGGGAGGATGTCTTCATCATTCTATTCATGTATGCTTTATTAGCTGATCATAGCGTTTCTGTCTGTGGAGGTAATCCTGAAGTATCCTGAAGTGTGACAATTCAAATAAAATCTTTTCCGCAGTACTCTTACCTGTATGTGGTACTTTTTGTCTGCTTTATATAAACTTGTTTTACCTTTCTGTCTTTGGGCAACTTATTCTTTGTGTTCGCATTGACCACTTATGCATGAGTTTGATATTTTGGCGGGGAACTGTGCCATTTTAATGTTGTTTTATATTTCATGTTGTTTGTTAACAGGGATTTACTTCTGATCAGATGAGGCTGGTTGAAGAAAATTCAACTTTAATTGAGCATAGGGAGAAAGAAATACAGTCAATAGTGCAATCAATATCAGAACTAAATGAAATATTCCGAGACCTTGCTACTATGATAGTAGAGCAGGTAACTAAAGAATATTATTTGTCCTTTACAGGGTCGTAAAGGTCCTGAAAAACTTGGAAAGTCATAAAATTTTAGAATTTCATTTTCCAGCTCTTGAAGGTCTTGTATTCTAATAATTGTCAGTCCTGAAAGTCCTGGAAAATTAAAGTTAAGTTTGGTAGATTCATTACTGTAGATGTCCGAGCAAGGACAATGCAAGATAAAGTCAAGAGCACAAATAGCATGCATTTTGGTGAACAACAGGTTATGTGTGTGTTGAACTTAGTAAGGTCAAAAAATAACCTGAAAAGGAGAGTTGTTAAAATTTTCCAGTGACAGCTTTACACAGGGTCATGGAAAAGTTGAAAAGTTATGGAAAAAGTCATGGAAAGTCATAGAATTAGAGTATCTCAAAAGAGTACTTACCCTGCTTTAAAAATTTCTTCTTTATCTCTGAAGCTTCAAGAATAGTGGTCTGAAAGCTGGATGTTTGAATCTTGTTTCTTTTTCAGTGGACCATAGACTAAATCATTTCATTGATTGTTCCTTATTGCTCATTCTTTCCACAGGGAACTATTTTGGATAGAATAGATTACAATGTAGAACAAGCTGCTGTTAAAGTTGAAGAAGGCCTAGAACAACTTAGAAAGGTCAGTACTTGTAGTTTTAATTATCATCTTGGAAGAGGAAGTGGAGTTTTCAAAGACTGTTTTTAAGTTTTTGTGGTTTTCTCTCATTTGTTCGTTTTAGCCCTTATCAACAAGAAAAAAAAATTTCTGCTTTCAATTTTCTGCGCTCTTGGGCCTTTTCCATTAAAAAAAAGGAATGGTGTCATTTCAGATTAATTGTTGTAAATCTTATTGTTTGACACCAAGAAGTCCCAGGAGGCAAAAACCAGGCCTAAACAAAGATTTTTCTGTTCATGCCAATAAACTCAAAAAGCCAGTTTAATCCCCCAAAAACCACTACATGATTTCTAAACCACGAAGGATGTTTCCATCTCCCTATGAACATAAACCAGAGACCCCTTCCCACTCCCCCTCTGGAACCTCTGGAAAGCGGTTGGACATTCTCCCCAGCTAAACTAGAGCAACTAATTAAATCATATAATTATATATTTGTCTTGTTTGCAGGGTGAGAAGCACCAGAAAGCGTCTCGGAAGATGTTATGTATAATATTTTTAGCTATTGTTGTAATAATAATGCTTCTAGCTCTGGTAATAACAAAAGCCAAATGATAAGCAATATATTGATTATTGAGTAATAATCTATTTAGGTTGTTTCATATTAATTTGTATATTTGATAAGAAATGAATTAAATTAGGAGGAACATTTTTATCACTCAAGTTTTTTTAATGTTAAACTTTACCTGCATTTGATTGAAGTAAAGTTTGGTTTAGAAATTCTGCTTTTTTCATCAGAGTTTTGGAATTGTGTTCAGCAAATAGTAAAGTAGTCTGAAATTATCTTACGTCTCCACCTCCTATTAACCCGCGGGGGGTGCGGGGAAGAGAGACATATGAATTCCAAGTGTTGTAATGTTTTCTGGTGAGATCACCTACTTTTGCAATTAATGGTAGGTATTTTCTGATTGGCTATTACCTTTCCGAAATAGAAAACCTTTTGTTATTGGCTGAACACACTAAGGAAAACATCCAGTTTGAAATAGCATTTGAATGTGACCTTAGAGTCAGCCTCTCTTCACAAAGCGAAAACTTATACCATAGTAGTAACTGATGACGAACCTTTTAATTCCAAAACTGCAGTCTCACTTTAGGCACTTGTAACGAAAAAGGCACTACCAGTACAGTAACTCCAAGACCAAGGTCACGTTTCACACTATCACGAGCTTATGAGTCGTGTTTAGCCTGTCAACACTTTATTTCATCTTCAAAAAGTTAAATGACTCTGTACATTTATTTAGGAGGTCTTAAGGTCAAGCTTTATGGCGCTCAAAACACAGAACACTCTTCATATCGACCATATGCATCCTGCTGTTCACTGTTCCATGACCTATGGCTGCCAACTTGTTAAGAAATCAAAATTTATGCAAAAATGAATAAATTACTTGGTGATGTCATTGGACGGCATAATTATTTTTAATGTTCAGAATTCAGATGTCTCTCTCCTCTGCACCCGCCATGGGTTAGGAGGAGGGTGTGTAACATTTCAGACGAACAGTTAAGTTTTGCAGTCTTTTTTAGTGAGTTTGTTTTTTTTTATTAGTCAGTCTTAGCGGTATCACCTTCACCACCATCTCCCCCCCCCTACAAAAAAAAGACAAAAACAAAACAAAGCAAAGACGCAGATGAGAGGACCATATCCTGGCCCTTATTCATTATTTGAAGCGATTTATGGAATAAATTTCTAAATGACTCTGACCAAATGTTAAATTTTTCCTTTGATTTACAAACAGATGCAAGGCAGATTATATGGAAATATTATCTAATCTAATCTAGCAGTTTATTAAAAGAAACTTGGGGCTATATTCTGGGCACTACCTTGATTCAGTCACTTGTGCAATCTCAGGAACTGGCTTCTAGTCCGGGCAGAAGAGATGGTTTCTGCAGAAATTGTCGACTGTGATGCAATGGACATTATAATCTTACATGATTGTATCAAACCAGGTGATACAAATCTTAGAAACGTTTTAAAAAATGAAAATGGGTGATTGGTTTCCCTGTTCATAGCATCTGCACAGTGGGCTATAATGCAGAAAAAATCCACTCTTCCCTGATGGATAGCGTGCTAAGAATTTTTACTGGTGGAGCTGGGGTGGTACGGATTGACGGCACAGGAAAACTGGGTGGAAAGGGAGTCTAGTAGTCTGGGAAATCTAGGCAGGGGTGGGGAGGGAAGCTAAAAAAAAGTTTACCATCTGTTAGGGAAAGTGGATTTTTCTGGGGTAAAAAAGAGCCCAACAGTCTCACACACAAATCTGTTATATTAAAATTGTTGTAAGGTGTTGCTTACAGCTGCAAGTAATAACTGTAATTTTTTTGTACATGCAGAATGTGCATCTAAGGTGCAAACCATGTTTCATCCATAAAGTCAGTAATCATTTCTTCATGTTGTACTAATGTAAATCAGCATGATACTCAAAAATGCATTAAAGATTATTTTTCACTTATGAGACTGAGGTCAATGGAATTTTTTTAAGGGGGCTTGTCAAATTTCTGTTAGAAAAGGGCCAAATAATTTATTCATGGTTACTGTTATTATTATTACTATTATTATTATCATTATTATTATTATTATTATCATCATTATCCTATAAAACACAGGGTTTCCCTTGGGAAGCAAAGTCCAGTTAAGTCTCAACCTGAGATCTCAGACTCCTATCACCTTTCCAAGGATATGTGCTGATATCAAAGAAGTGCATACGTTTGCATTCACCACCATAGGAACGAGAAAGAAACTGGAGCTGAAATGTGTCGACTGTTACAGGGGACGTGCCAGTCAGCTATTGCCTATTGCCTGTGTCCCTAGTAACAATCCGAAAGTTGAATTGGTCTTAATCCCTCTTGTTTCTAAAGTGGTGAATTACTATTGTTTGTTTTGTTTTATTATCATTTTGCCATACAAGTTAAATATATATACATAGAATTTAAAAAAAAAAAGATGAGGCAAGGGAGCCCAAGGAAGCCAATAAGGCTTATGAATAGGACCACATTCAAATATATATAATTTACCTAATTACATTAAATAGGATAAAAATAGAAATGGCTGAATCTAAAGGTGCAAAAACGAAAAAGAAAAATGCGAGAAAAAAATAATGCAAGAGTATACGAGGAAAAAAGCGAAAGAAGCGAAAAACCACACACAAGCATTAAGAGAACTAAAGTATTCTTATACCCAGAAAAATGACTTTAGTTTAGAGTTAAACCCGGGGGTACTCCCTTATAAGGACTTAATGGGACGTGCGGCCAGCCAGGGTATGTTTTTCGGGATTTTTGTCTTAAACAGGGTATCGAATTTATCATTTTTTGCCTTAATCAGGGTATCGATTTATCAATTTTTGTCTTAAACAGGATATCTTTTCTTGGACGATAAACAGCAAAATTTTTACAAGTTCTAATGTTAATTAAATGTCTTAAACAGGGTATCAAAAATCGGAATTCTGTCTTAAACAGGGTAGGAAAGTCAGCTATACTTGTCTTAAACAGGGTCAGGGTATGAGGGGCCGCGCCGCACCTCCCCATCCAGGGATATATCGAGAACCCCCCCTGGGAGTTGAACACAGCAATAATATAGTGTGGAAATACGTACAATGGAATTGTTCTTTTCCCGTCTGGGATTCCCAACTGCTTTAAATGAGCTTTCGTCTTTGGCACTGATCCAATGCCTCCACCGCCACTGGCACAACTCTCATCTTTGTATTCCACAAACTCTTGCTCCACGTCTTGATATTATCATTATCATTAAAATTAGAATTTTTAAAGCAATTTATACAGAAAAACCTTTCAGTTTTTTCCCAATATTTTTTCTTTTAACAATTTCCTAATTCAGGTCAGTTGAGCACAAAATATTTTGAATTTAAAAAGAAAAAGATGCTCTTAAATGTTGTAGAAGGTGAAAAAAAAGGAGACCTGCTCGCCCGATGAGGGACTTGAACCCGCGACCCTCAGATTAAAAGTCTGATGCTCTACCGACTGAGCTAACCGGGCGCGCTCTGAAAGAGAAGGAAATTTTTCACTACTTATTTGTAAACAGAGAATAAGAAACCCCCATTGAAAAATATCGCCTCGTTTTGATGCTGACCGCCAGTGCCATTTTCTGTTTTATCTGTTTATAGCAATTGCAGTTTATGTGGTTAAAATGCATCTTATGTACTATCTCAACGACAAAGGAAAGCGAGTTTACACTCTGAAGGTAAGCTTAAGAACAGATCAAACTTTTATTAAGGTTTTTAACGACTTTTTTAACGTGATTTCCATCAAGTGCATACAGCTGAGTTAGTTACTTTTAGTCCACGTGCGAGGAGATCACTCAAATCATAAGTTTACTCTATTCGCAAAATGACTTGAAAACGATTATTCTTCTTTGATTTGCAGAAGATCGATCCCTCAGGCCACCCGACAAAGTCTGCCCATCCAGGTGTTGTCATCTTTTCTCTTTTTTTGAAATCGCAGCGCATGGAAGAACGAACGTTTAGAAGCCATTCTTGTCCCGTCTTGGGTAAAACCGGATAAAGAATGGCTTCTAAACCTGGAAACAGCGTTTACATAGTATAATTCAGGAAGAAACCAGAACATTTTGGAGTAAGAGCTAACGTTGACATGGTTTGGCCAACTCTAGCGCACACTGTTGGGACCTCGAGTCTGAGTGTCCTCATTAGAGAGAGTGGGATTTAGCTGCTGTCTGTATTATCGGCGTGTCCATTATAGCGAGGTGTCCCCGAGATACTTAGTGTACTGTTGCCTGCTAGTGGATATTTAGGTTACGTTGACACTGCACTGGAAAGCTTCGCTTCTGGCCGGCACAAAACCCATACCGGCTAGGGGTTCTGCTCACACATAATTTCGGCATGACTCCTGTAACAGAGTGACGCCGCACTGTGCCCATCACTAAAGTGGAGACCCGAGAGTCGCATTTTGGCTTAGCCTGCAATTTACAGCATGTCTCCTTGCTCGTTGCTGGTAGGGACGTTTCACAGGGAAGACGTCTGCACTGTAGCAACAGAAATTTGATACTGATGAGGTAAAATCAATCCAGAACCTAGTCAGGAGCTCTGATTGGCTGACGTTGTAGTTATATTGTTTTTGTTATTGTTTACGAAGACAAAAGATAAAAGACCATAAAGGTCAAATGTAAATGTGATGAATCTAGTGCAAAATAATCAATATTCTTGCAAATATATTCTCCTTAGGAGAGGCATTCGAGTTTGCTGGAGCTTGTTTGCAGAAGAACACAGAACTTTACCATAATCGACCAGGAGAAATAAAAAATCAAACAAATTTACATTTGAAGCCCTACAAAAATGGCTATATTTGGATTGATTATGTAAACATTTAATTATGTCATCAGTATGGAATTTCTGTCACTGAAGCACATGTACAGTCGAACCTCGATTATCCGGACTCGTTGGGACCAGACGAAATAGTCCGGATAATCGAGGATCCGGATAATAAAAAAAATTATATGAATATTAATGAAGGACAAAACTGATTAAATTGAGAAATCGACTATTAATCGTGAAACAAGACTTTTACAAATCGTTTGGGGGACCAGAAATTGGAGTGCCAGATGTTCGTTGCTGAATAAACCAGACATACAGGGCTTTATCGAGCTCTACAGCATGTTGCAGATATCAAAGATCTGCTGCTTACTCAGGGGGTTCATTAAGGGCCGGGCACGAGGCAAATTGACCGGCTGTGAACACGACTTTGCCCGACTGCTTTATTACATCTCAAAGAACTTCTTTTTAATACAAGGAATGATCAAAAACAGTTTTAAGTTACAATCGTGCCCTTTTCTTGATGAGTTTTATCGAGTGTAAAACATACTTTGCCATGCAGTTTCCACTTTATTACACGCGGCATGAAATCCCCTTGTTTGTTATGTGTTAAAAAGAAGAATCGCCCGATAACACATTGCGAAAAGAACTATGCTTCATAAACGACCACCTGAAATGTATCAGTGTTTCGAGCACGTGAGCATGGCAGCCCAGAAAAGAAGGGATTCGATAGCAGATTATTTTTCGGCTTCAGCCAAAGGACCTCGAGTAGAGAAAAGGCCAAGAGGTGAGAAGACTTCTTTGTGATTTAACCTTTTACTTGCCTATATATATTGAATGGCTTAATCATCATGTTCAACGAAGCGAAGCGTCATTTGTTTTCGTTTTATGGTTTACGCCAATGAATTAATTTTCGGTGCATTCACGTTAAAACAGTGCTCCTCCCGTCTAGTCATTGAAATTTTAAAGATAAGTTGTTAAACTAATACTTTTGTGATTCAAATCATGATTAAATTATTGTCTAGAAAAGTTATCTTTTTTCGGTTGTTGAAAGTCATTGTCTGCATGTGCAGCTTCAAAATGCATTAAGACACATCCCTGTGACTATAGAATTTCAAAATTTTCCGGGGGAGCATGCCCCTAGACCCCCCTAGGGAGCAAGGCCCTCCGGACCTTGCCAATTCTTTGCCTGGGTGTCAAACTCAGTTGCCTTCCTGTTCAAAACCTTAATGAACCCCCTGCTTACTTCTTCATTAGTTACGACACTTGTGACCACTGCATTTGCTGTTTGAAAGCAAAAAAACCTCGCATTTGACTGCACTTTTCAATGCTGTAGTTTTAAAAAGGATATGGCTACGGATCTTGATCGTGACTAATAATATTCATGTCCAAATTTAGCCTCCCACGCAAACATTCTTAGGGGTTCATCACGCAATCTTTCCTCCCCCACGAACCACGTTCGTGGGGGAGGAAAGATTGCGTGACGAACCCCTAAGAACGTTTGCGTGGGAGGCTAGACCAAATTGGGACCAGAGAAAAAGTCTGGATAATTGAGAAATCCGGATAATCGAGGTCTGGATGATCGAGGTTCGACTGTACAGATGTCTTGCAAAACTTCCCTGGAAGTCAGGAGCAAGGAGAGATGGCTGTATTTGCAGGCTAATAACGGATAGGTGTTCATACTGGATTGAAATATGGGGTGGCAAGGCAAGAGGGTTTCTCTACTATACCAGACGGCTTTTCATGTCACCACAAAGAGCTGTCCGGAAAATGTGAACATTGCCTTAGTTTACTATATCAGGGGCGGATCTAGGGGGTGGGTGCAGGGGGTGCCCAACCCCCCCCTCTGACCTGTGGTTTTCTAATACAACTGGTACTCTGCAAAAAAAAAAAAGAACTATGTGGTTTATTGGTGTTGAAGTAGATAAGAGACGAGTGCACCCCCTCCTAAAAAAAATTCTGGATCCGCCCCTGTATATAGCGCAATCTTCATGCATTAATTTATAACATTGCTCCAGGTGGGCTTAACTTCGGAATACAGTGTACTGTGAGCCACTGAAATATTCCCCAACAACTCCTGCTACCGCAGTCTGCCGTGCGCATTGCTATTAATGTAATATACCTTATTCTTTAATCCACAAATCTCAGTTAACAGTAGTAAAGATATAGTAAGCTTGTATGATGAATGGCAGAAAGCTATTTTGCTTTAAAGAATACACCTCATTCCAAAGTGGTGGCAATATTACTTTTTTATGTAATATGTTTTGGAATTATGGCATACTGCCTTCTGACATCCCTTCGAGTCGCTTGCTCACTCAGTGACACTAAGTGAGTAAGTGACTCAGGGATTTCGAAAATTCAGGCTACTCCCTCCATTAACATTTGTGATTGTTGTACCTCTGAAAAATTGCTCTATTTTGACGAGCTTATAAGAGGCAACACTCCAGCTCTCATTCAATGGAATGCACCAAGGCTGTGCTCTAACGAAAATTGAAGGAAGCCCAGTGCTCTGAAAATGTAAAATCTAGAGTGCCCAGCATATGATTTGTATGAAAAATCTGAGATTTTCTAGTCTCCCGAGGGCAAAAGTTAGGTGCCAGGGGCCACCAGGCTCTGCCAGAGCTGCACCAAAGTTCTGCCTGCTTTTAAGTTTAGAACAATCTGATATTATTCAAGATTATCACTGCTACTTTTACAGTGATCCATGCTATGGTGGTAAAATACCTCTTTAAAACTATGCCAAAACTCGGAGACAGAGCCTTTATGGCTGTGGTTCTAAAGCTCTTGAATATTTTGGTCCATGATATTAGAAATACCACAGATTTTACCTTATTTAAACAAGTCTGTACTTTTTAAGCAAGCTTATGGGTAAGGCTAGGATAGTTCGTTATTTGATTTTAATTCTTTGTAAGTACATCATAGACGGCTAAATTTATTTTTATACCTTAGTTATTCCAGTATTTCATTGCAAGGTACATTTTAAAACTTTGCTGTATACGTGAAGCTTAAACGCTCTTTTAACAAAGTTTTCTATTTTCTATTTTGAGAAATTCACACTTGAATCTGACGATTGCCATTTGCTGTATACGTGAAGCTTAAACGCTCTTTTAACAAATGGCAATCGTCGGATTCAAGTGTGAATTTCTCAAAATAGAAAATGAGCAGATAAAACCACCTCAAAACAATTCTTATGGACAAAAAAAATTGCGTGAAACTGCCAGTTGCCAGTTTGTGTGTTGAAATAATGGCAAGTAAAGTGGAAACTTGCTCATGTGACACAAATTCGCATTTGCCGTGATGCGAATGTGATAATTTGTGCATTACAAACAAATATTTTCCTGCCAGCAGAGACCACTTCTTCCTGGTATTTCAATTTTGAAATACATAGATATTTTAAAATGTTGGACACAGCCATCAGCCATTCACTATGTTGTATTTTTCAGCGCGCTTTTCACCAGATGACAAGTATTCCCGGCACAGAGTGACCCTAAAAAGAAGATTTGGCATCTTACCTACTCAACAACCGAAGCCTGTTTACTAAGAGGTGCAGAAGGAACTTGAAGTTGAGGAATGTACATGTACAGCTACAAATGTAACCTGTTTTGAAATTGACTGTTACACTTTGATTGGACTGGTTGTGAATATGATCACTATTATTTTCTAATTCTTCTTTTGGGGTGAAGATGAAGCATTATTGAAAACCACTTTCTTCAAAATTATTATCGTCATCATTGTTGTCATCATTGTGGTCATCATCGGACTAGTCTTATTTTAAGTTCTGTATTTATTTCGGAAACCGGTCGTTTCGCCAACGAGTCGTTTCGCCAACGGTCGTTTCGCAAACGTCTCCGGTCAGTTCGCAAACGTGTAGAAGTCAGTTCGCAGCAATGTTGTCTATTTTCATGTTTGTTGTTTTACTGAACAGATGTATATAAGGGAATGTAACAGTCCAGCTGAAAGCAGAGAGTTTAGTCTTTTAACAACAATCATGGCAGGACTAGAATATGTTGAGTAAGCAAGCATTACTTTGCTTGTGCATCATGCTTTTGGGCACATTTATCACTTAATGGCTTTTATACCCATTAAACACTCAAAAATTTCAATTCCTACCTTGAAATGGTTTATCCTGAAATAAGAGAGGTTATTGAAATCATACATTTTTTTCATCATACTCGATGTTTCTCACAATTCGCGCTCAATCTCGTATCAGTTCAGGAGTACCTTATTTATTCGATTAACCGCCCTGGGCGCTTATTAAATTTTCGGACCTTGAAAGAGGGCGCTTGTTCGAGGCTGGGCACTTATTAAATTTTCACCATTTTCAGCAAGTGTGGTATGTTTATTTTGCAACAAAACAATAAAAAACGCGAAAATTTGAGGAAAATTCCAACGTTCTCGTAGACCATGAATCTAGATAGTGTAAGCCAGTGAATAAATAATGATCAATACTACTCTTGTGCACTTAATGCTTGGGGGGTGGGCGCATATTCGAGGCTGGGCGCTTATTAACGTTTTCTGCCTTTAGAATAGGCGCTTATTCGAGGTGGGCGCTAATTCGAGGTTGGGCGCTTATACGAATAAATACGGTATTCAGTTTTGGAAGAAGCAAAAACAATGGTCTCCATCACAACCGACGATGATGATTTTCAAAACATACAAAATGGCGGGCAAGAGAAAGGAAGAGTACTGACCGAAATTCTCGTTTATTCTCGTTTTATCGCGACTTTTATTTTGTCTTCTCGTTACTATGAATTGAGAAACACACCAAAGGCAGGGAAAAGCCGTTCTTGCGCTATAATTCTTAGTTTATCGCGCACTTTATAAACAATTATTGGATGAGGTTTTTCTAATTTTCGGATTAATCAAGGCCGAGATAAGTGTTATCGGCCGAGCTGAAGGCTTAGGCTGAAAACACTTACCGAGACCTTGATTATTCCGGATATCACAAAAACCGAGTCTAATAATTGTTTTATTTGTCATTGTCTTGAAGAAAATAACGACAAACACAGCCTCGCACGAAACACTTTTTGTGCAATCATTCATTGCGCGGGCAACCTACAGATCAGTCAGTTAACTGCTAGCAGATAATTGTCCAATCTGTAGGAGCTTTAGCATCGACAACGGCGACGGCAGCGAAAACGTCACTTTTTAAATAAATTCGCGCGTTTTTTCAAACTTCTTCGCGTTTATATCAATCCGCTGAAAATGTCATAGTCTATTCAAAAATTTGTTGGACCCGTGTAAACGAGGTCTCAGTATACAGTTTGTCGGAAAAAATGTGCACGCGACAATCCCGAAAGGTAATATGGGATATGATCAATACACTGTTCCTGACACTAGCTGTCGAACCTACTTTTGTTGCTTTCCTTTAGCACTCGCAAACATATGTCCATGGCCTCTTGTGACATTCTTTCAAATTTCTTTGAAGAATAATGGACTCAAAACCACCCACAATACCTTTCGGGATTGTCGCGTGCACTTTTTCCGCTGCGCGCAGTTACTATTTATAGACCCGAAACTCAGACAAACAAACTGAACTTAACATTAACGAATTCCTCACTATTGTCTGAATTTTGTCATTAAAATGTCATGTTTGTCTGTCTTTTGTCATTAAAATGAGAAAAACGACAAAACTCAGACAAAAATTGCAAATTAGTCTCTCTCACGTCATTCGCGTGAGAAAGTGCGTGCGTGCACTTATCAAGTGTTCTTATAGACCCGCCCTCAACCAATGAGAGTGCGGTTATTGTAAAATACCACGACAGCTGATGCGTAAATAACGTTACTTATTACAAGGCAGGTGTGCAGATTTTGCGAAGTCCATTCGACAATAGCACAACGCACGAGTCCGAATCCTTATAATTTCCCGAGCCTTTTTTGTCTGAGTGACAAATTTGCAATGCTTGTCAGACTTTTTTCATTTCACTGACTTTTACCATGGAAATGAAAAAGTCAGACAAAAGGGACGAATTAGTTAATCTAAATTCCTTTTTGTCTGTCTGAGTTTCAATTCTATAAATAGGAACTGTGCTCAGCGCTATTATATTGAATGGCCACATCGCTCTGAGCCCCGGAAAGTATCCTTTGCCTTCAAACGCTCTCTCAGCGTAATCTGTGCTCGCTTTGAAGAAACGAAATGGGCGAGAGGAAAACAACTCAATTTCCTTCTCCTATGCCGGAGAAGTTTATTAAGTTACTTGAAGGTTTTCGTGTGTCCAAAGTACTATTTGCAGCGTGTGAATTGAGTATCTTCGACAAACTGCGCTCCGCATCCGTACCACAATCGGCCAGCGAAATAACGCAGACGTTGTCCTCCAATCTCGACGCCACTACACGTCTCATGGACACCCTTGTGGCAATGGAATTGCTAGAAAAATCTAAACAGGGTGACCGATGGTTGTACAATAATTCTGAAATGGCCACTAAATTTCTCACCACAGAGAGTCCAGATTCCGCACTAGGGCTCATAAATTTAGAGAATAATATATCGTACCACTTCTACGGAAATCTAGAAAGTGCAGTGAAGGAAGGAGAAACACAGTGGGAGAGAATATATGGGAAATCATCCGAAGAGGTTTTCAAAGAGCACTACAGCACCGAAGACGACACTTTACGGTTCATGAGTGCCATGCATTGTAACTCACTATATGGAAGTTATGCTGTTGCGAAAGCCATGGATTTGAGCGAATATAGCAGCTGCTGCGATTTAGGAGGTAGGTGAAATTTGTTATTTCTCGATTTAAGTTGAGTGAGAGTTTTCTCGAGCTGAATATGACGTGTCTCCGTAGACAGGGGTCCATGGTCCTGAAGTACGGTGGCCCATAAAGGACAGCACTTTCAATAATAATTTTCACGAACATTGTAAAAGAAAAGCGCTAAAAATTGAATATTACACTGCCACAAAGCAGTGTAAACCTGCACACTTCACTCGAATTTAACTCGCTATGCAAAAAAACACATCTCCACACTGCAAATAACATAAATTACCGCACTGGAAACAAACTATATCGGCGCACGCTGCAAACAAAATAGATATCCGCATTGCAACTAAGAAACTTTTGTTTTTACCCACTCCAACCAAAAAAATGAACAATGCAAACAAAGCAAAATTGCAAAAGGATTTGCCTGTGAGGAGTACATAGAACAAATATCAACGGATGAAAAAATGTGTCATAAAAACTACGCATCGGAAAAACCACCCCGCTGGCTCTCTTCCTCCCACGAAAAACCCGTAGGACAAGGTTGAATTTTTTCAGCAGGTGTAGTGACTTTAGAGGTAGTATTTAAAACGCGGTGTCAAGAAGGGAGTTACACTCGCTTGTGCACCAAACCTTCAAAACACTAAAGAAAAACATAGATTCATTTTTCAAGATTTTACGAAATCGCATTTCATAGTTTATGAGCGATTTCAGTCCTGAGTCTGTGTATCTGCGTAGCTCGCGGGATCAGAGTGCCAGCTCGAGAATTTTGCTCCATTTTTCTCACGGCTTAAATTCATCGCCGCGGCGCTCTGTCAATGGCTGCCCGTTACCCTTCCCATGGTCCCTTGCGCTTCGTCACCAGTCACTCGCGTTTCGCGCTCGCCTCTATGCGAAACCTTGATGCGAAACCATGTGAAAAGCGAAGTGCCTGAGGAGGAGGCTGGGTCTATGGTTAAAAGTATCCCGCGCAATAAATCCCGCCAGCTACGCGGGCTAGGGCCATATTTTCTCTAGCTATTTGTCATCCTGATGTTGTCAGATTTTATTCCACAAACTTTTAGACAAAGACACTTTGTAACAGTTTCATCATATTTGCTGACCTCAAGGTCTGGACGCCGCCGTTGCCGTTTTTGATCTGCGAAATGAATTAAAGCTTAATTTTCCAATTATTTTGTCAATGTAACTAGGGGCTGTGGGCACTCTTGCCTATGCTTTGTGTCAGTTTAACCCTAAAATGAAGATAACAGTTTGTGACTTGGAGCCAGCCGTGAGTTTAGCCCATCACTTCCGACCATCAGTTGAAGCTTGCCCAAATCAAGCCAACGTTTCCTTTGCCGTCGGCGATTTCTTCAAACCTGAAACCCTACCAAAGGCTGAATTGTATGTGTTGTCTCACGTTCTCCACGACTGGTCAGAGGACAAAGTTGACTTGATCCTTTCAAATGTCTACAAGTGCTTACCCTCAGGTAATTTTTAATGAAATACCAATACAGTCTTATTGCACGTACAATCAGAGACTGGAACTCTAGTTGCCAAATAGAGTCATTGAAGAGTAGCCAGTAAAAGCTTTCAAAATGGCTGTCATGTGCCATGTTTAAAAAACGCTGACCCCGAAATATTTTGTTATTATTAGTTTTTTTATACACTCGCACCTTGTCTCATATCTTACTTCTAGCACATTCATATTTTTGCACATCTGCTGTTATACCTTTTGCAGATCACACAATTAGAATTAGAATAAGAATTAGAAATCAAGTTCACAGGTGAAAAATACGTAAGAACCTTTACGTTCGTAGGTTATGGAGTGTGGGCAAATTCTTCGCGATAATTATTCATACCCTTGGACTCCCGGGATTGACACCAGGGCCGAGTTGTTCAAAGCTGGGTTAAGATAACTCATGGTCAGTGCGAGATTTGAATTCAGATTTGAAAGCTTAAAAAGCATTTCACTTTTAATTCTTTTTGTCTACAAGTTGATAATTGGAAGCTCTACAATTAACAGAGAAAATTATCCGAGAAAATGCTTTTGAACACAAGAAAAAGAAACCCGAGTTAAGTGCTAATCGGCCTTCCAACAACTACGCCCAGTTTCTCTGCTAGAATTCTTAAGCTGACCGTTTGATTAACAAAAGGCATTTCAATTTCTGTCGCTCGAACGGTTTAGAGTCCGTTTCAGTACTTAATGGTATGTTCCCTTATTGTTTGAACAATCTTTCCCTCTTACCACGAAAAGGCAGGGGCAAAATCGCCAGTTTTTATAGTATCTTCTCCTTTTAGGTGGAGGACTTCTCATTTGTGAACAGATTTTAAACGAAGATAAAAGCGGCCCATTGCCCGCCCTTCTTAATTGTCTTCTTATGTTGGTGGAAACAGGAGGAAAAGAAAGATCAGCTTCAGAATACAAGCTTCTCCTGGAAAAGCATGGATTTGTAGATGTTCAAGCGAAAAAAGTTTATTTCTCTAAAGATGCCATTTTATGCAAAAAGTTGTAAGATACATCAAATGAAATTTTTGTCTGTGTTGCTATAAGAGCCCCGCACAATCTCGTACCCAGTGTCCTCAGGCTCCTTGGTTAGAAGATGGCTGTTTTCCCTTGGGACTAGGCTTTGACCGGATTTTGCTTGCAAAAGTAGCATAATATGCTGCTTGCAGTGTTCGTATATTTCTGAATTTACGCCAATAATTATGCTAGTTTTGGGAAATCATGCTTAGTTTAGCAAAAAATTCATAAATTATTATAATTTATGCTCCTACTTTTTACTTTAATTTGGCAAAAACACCTTTATAAGTATGCAACCAACAAGTAAATGGCAAACACTATTTATCAGTAGAAATTTAATTTGAGTTCTGGGTCATGTCGTGTGGGTGCCAGGTTCCATGAATGAGACAATAAGTAGACAAAAATTGATTGATTTTGTCACTTAAATTTACCTTTTACACTGATCACAGGGCCAGAAAAAATGGTTGCATCATCAATAATTGACAATTTCGTGCTTCTAAACTAGCCACTGAAAAGTTCAAATTGTGCTAGCAGTGCTTTTTTCCGAAAATAGATGAAAGAATGAATTATGCCAAAAATTATGCTAGCACAATAATGTATCAACGCCTTTTAGGGACCAACCGCTGACCTTGCCTATTCCCTGTACGGAGTCTTCCCAACCGCTGACCGACAAGCCAAAGATCCTGGGTAAGGGATTAATAAACGCATTGCCTCCAGGTAATGGAGCATGGCTAAAATTGTGTTTGGTAATACTGTAGGCCGAGTTGACTTGAATGTTATGTAACTGTTTCAAGGTATAAAATTGTCATTAGAATTTGCAACATACTTTGACCAGATAGTCCTGTTTGTTAAAAAGTGCGCCTTTTATACAGTCGCGTGGCATTTGATAAGATAATAAAACATGTTCTTATGCTGTGATGTGACTCGCACGTTACAGCTGGGTATGGCTACATACAAACTAACGCCAGACGTAATTTGTAACATCTGGCGCTGAAATGTTTACTGTCTTTACTCGGTTGAAGTAGGATGAAGGTTAACATTACCTGTTCATTGTGACGGTAAGATTTATTCCACTTTTCCTAAAAGCAGTATCCAATCTTTTGTCTTTATACAATGCAGGAAGTTACCTCGTTCATTTCTTGCTCGCCTCCCTTTGCCGTCTAACCGTCGTTTTTCCAGCGCTTTTCTCTCTCCCCAGGTCGCGACTCAAATAGTCATCTCATCTGGGGCCAGTTGTTTAAAAGGTGGATATGGGCCACTGGATAAATCTCTATCCAGCGGATAACGCAATTGTTTTCCCTGATACTAATCCGCTGGATAGTGATTTACCCGGAAGGTGGATAGCGCTAGACATTGGAACAAAAAAAGCTTTAAATAATGGTTCAGTTTTATTTAAAATTGCTCCACCACTGTATACGTCAGATATCTTCAGATATAGGTGTGTCTCGTTGGCTTTCAATGGCTAGGATGAAAATGGGTTTCACTTTAAGAAAATTGGACTACCTTCTTTAAGTTACAAGCCTTCCAACCGTCTGCCTCCTCCACGGACTTTCCTAAGGCTTAGTAACGAGCAAGGGACAAACGAGAAGCGCGAGAGGTAGCCTCCCACGACCCTAAGAACGTCCGCGTGGAGGCTACGTAAGAGGGGGATGATGGAGCAAGCGCAGAGCGCGAGCAGGGAGAGATGTGTTGGAGTGCTTTCCTTCATAATTGGAGAGATTAAGATTCACGTTTACGCCTAATGGGAAACGTGAATTTGTACCACGTGACAAAGTTTTCCCCTTAATTGTCGTTTACTGTTTATTACTTCTACACAGAAGTAATAATGTCCTGAACAGTTTTTATCTGCTTATTTTCTATTCTGAGAAACTCTCAACTTGAATCTGACGTTTGCCGTGACTCTTAATCTCTCTACTAACTCAAATATCCCCCAAAAAGTGATCGCGAGCGACTGGAGCAGAGGCAGTGCCTTCGTTGTCCAAAATGACCAAAGACCACCTCTTTTCTCCCCTTTGATAGAATCTTTTTTTATAGTTCCAAGTATCACAAAATATGACTGAGTATACTCAGTTGTAGTCTCAGCTCAGCTGAAATTTTAGGACTTCCGCTGATTTCTGATTTTCTACAACGTTTCTAATACTGTTCACTTGCTCTTGCCGAAGTGTCAATGACTGAAAATTTAGCTGATTCAAAGCTTTGAAAAGACAACCCTCCAAGTTACTTTTGAATCAGAAATGACCGGAAGTCCTAAAATCTAGAACTTCAAATCCTGTGTCCCCAGAGCCTCCTGGTCCTCGTGCTCAGGCCCCCAGGAGGCTCTGGGGACGAGAATGATCCAACTTTTCCTATATTTTCGTACAAAACTTGGCGAACAGTTTACAACAAAAAGAAAACTTTGGCTCGGCTGCTCAACCTTCGAGCTGGGTCAATGTTTGTACATATCAAGAGGGTCTCAATAGGGTTAACCGTCAGCCGTCAAACGGCCTAAAATGTAACCGTCTGCCGTCAAAAAAGGTTATTTTTTACCGTCAACTGCCAAAAATGCAGAGTAATATTAACCGTCAAAACGTTTCTCGAGGTATTTCAAATCTCACCATTTCAGCTGATCTTCATGGACTTTTGGCTCCTGAAGCATCTTTTAACTGGAGAAAGCACTAGCCATGTTCTCAAAACACTATCTCTGGACATTACAAAACCTTACAACTTTCTTATATCTCTAGTAAAGTATTACGAAATTTTATATTTGAAACGCTAAGTCAACCTCCAAAACATAACGTTTAATATTGATTTATACAGAAGTTAATATTTTCTTTATATTAACTCTTGGGATACACAACTTTTCACTAAATAACCGTCAACCGTCAAAGCTACCACCTCATTGAGAACATCTATCAAAACTTAGATCCAAAGACGCGACAGCTACAAGAATGTCAAAGAAAAAAACCTTTACAACGCACAACCACAACTCTGGATGTGCATCACACTTTTGAGGCTTCTTGAAGTTTTTCATGGTCTTCTCTATAAGCTGGGGAACGAAAGAGGTAAGAGGTGGAACGGACAACTTCAAATGCAACACCCTTATTGAAAGTGGCAAGATCGAAAAATTTAAGGTTAAAGCCCGGGGTAAAAGAACTTGTCTTCTACCTGAAAGAATACGGACTGCCGTCGGATACTTGACAAAGTAAAAGCTATTTGATGTCATTATTATTGACACATCAAAGAGTCTGTGAACACAGACGAATCGTGTGGTGCCAAAGATGAAAGTGACGGGGAATCAGGGGATGAAGAATATGAGGACGAATTCGACAGTGGGAAGGACGAGAGCGACAATGACTTTGTTTCCAACGATTTGGATGAGAAGAGTAACTCTTGACAGACAATTCAGTTCTTATCAGATGACCAAAGAGGGGGGATCATGAAATCTTCCACCGCCAATGTGGGAGGTGGTGGAGGGGGGGGGTCAAAACCACACTGTATCCTTTAAGGGGGGATCACGTAAGTGCTCAGTTGTCGCAACAAAAATCCCCCACCCCCAGGCGATAAATAATGACCGGTCCCTTATGGAGAACGTAAACAAGCAACGACGACATTTTATTTCTCTTTCTGAACTTAGATAGGGTCCCTAGGAATTTGAGTCCAGTTGGGTTCACCTACATTCAGTCAAAGTTCACTTTTTAAGCGACCTTCTCGTTGCCTTCGCGTCGTTAAAATGCACTAACGCTGTTATCAGCTCTTGGCTCGGGTACTATACCGGACGCCATGAAAATCATACCGGCTTGGGCTTCTGTTCATACACAAGAACGGTTGTGGCGCGATTTCTGTGACGGAGCGACGCTGCGCCGCGCAAATCTCTAAAGAGGAGAGTCACATAATGGATAGATGTTCACACTATAACTGATAGCTTTTCGTGGCGCCACGAAAAGCCATCCCGGTGTAGTGTGAACATAATCTAACGGCGCTTTCCATAAGTTAGAACTGGCCGGCCGGACCATGGTCAGACCAGGCATTTTGGAAATGAAACAGGCCTTTTCCAAGAGGATTTGCTGAAAAACCATCTCCTTTGAGCATAATGTGTAGGATTTGACTGATCTGTATGGTTACTTTTGATTAAAAGTGAAATTCCCATTACGATGGGAATAAGCTGGTCAGTCAGTTCTGACAAATGGAAAGCGCCCTGGGTTGACTGGGAGGCTGGCGAGCTTAACCTCTTTCCCATTAGACAACTTTTCTCTCTAAACGGGGCCTTTCAAAGGGCGCCCACGGGGTGTTAGGAAATTATTGCGTCATTGTAGCGGGAAAACTCGTCACGTGATCTGAAAACTGAACTTTGTGCAAGATTCTAGGAACTGTGTAGTCATTCGGAGTCGTGGAGCTGATCGAGTGTGTAGATTGAGTGTAGACAGGCCCGCATCCACACCGGTTTCCACCGTTTTACGGAAATCGGTCAGATTTTTCATAAGAAACTTATTTTTAATAAAAAGAACTTTCCAAGTTGAAATGTGGAAAATGGTTTGGACAAATGTCTTCTTTTTCCAGTTTCTGGGAATTTGATGCCCTTCTCCCCCCCCCCCCCCCCTTACCCAATGAATCAGAAACCCGGGAAAGCGAACTTTAGGGAGCTAGTATCCAAAAAAATTCCCGGGGGTGCATGTCCCCGGGCTACCCTAGAAGCTTGCTCTCTCGGCCCCTTGCTTAGGAAATCGATCAGTATTTATCCTAGATCCGCGCCTGGTAGATCATCGAAATTGTACGCGAATTGATGTCCATGAATTCTTTAAGTGTAAAACAGAGTACAGAATTCTAAAATATGAACATGTGAAGAAATATACTTTCAGGGAGTGACGAATTAAAGCTAAATGGAACTGGTTGTTTCACACATAATTCGGGGCACGGGGTATTACACGATAGCATATCAAGCTGATCATGCAATAGCCAAACATGCTGAGCCGGTTAGAATCCAGTTACTTTAAGGAAATTGAGCAATTTTAATTTTCAGTGGACAAAAACCTTGTACCAGAATAATTTAAACAATATGGCATTCTTTTTGACATTTTTCAAGGGCTATAGATGTAATTAGTTATCTGTAATAACACCAAAGAAAATTTCTTATGGAAGCCCTAGAAAACGTATGTCAAATTGCACAAAATGACATCTTACACATGAAATTTTCAGAATTTTACCTATGTTTTCACAATTCTTGTAAAATTTGACATTTATTTTCTCGGGCTCCCATGATGGATTCTGTGTTAATTTATTCGTCCCCATTTTAAGACTTAAATGATGTTGAGGGCAGAAGCTTTTTTACTGGCGTCAATTAGGTGGCCCGTATTTCATTGCTCGCAGTGTACAACACATAGCGTTCGGGATAACAGCTCGCGTATTTCTCAAAAAAAAAGAAGACAAAATGAGCGAAACAAAAAAATTTCAAGTTCCTTCTCCTATCCCAGAGAAGCTTTATAGGCTAATAGACGGTTTTCGTCTGTCTAAAGCGCTATTTGCAGCATATGAATTGGAAGTCTTCGACAAACTGCGATCCGCATCCTCACCACAATCGGCCGACGACATAACAAAGGCATTGTCCTCCGATCTAGTCGCCACTACACGTCTCATGGACACCCTTGTGGCAATGGAATTGCTAGAAAAATTCAAACAGGGTGACCAGTGGTTGTACAGTAATTCTGAAATGGCCACTAAATTTCTCACCAAAGACAGTCCAGATTCGTATCTAGATATGATCGCATTTACAGACAAAACGCTGTATCCTATCTTTGGAAATTTAGAAAGCGCAGTTCTTGAAGGAACTACGCAGTGGAAGAAGACATTTGGAATGTCTGCAGAAGACTGGTTTCCCAATTTTTGTAACACCGAAGAAGCCAAATTACGGTTCATGGGGGCCATGCATTGTAATTCACTCTATGCAAGTTATGCTGCTGCTAAAGCCATTGATCTAAGCGCGTACAGAAGCTGCTGTGATCTAGGAGGTAAGTCAAAAAACGGAAAGTTGGAATACATCACACGATATTTTTAAACCTTTGCCTGTCAGCATTGTGAAAACAATACTGGCTGAAGTTTATTCCACCTCTTCTGAACGAGCAATATAAAGAAACCACGATCAACAAGAAGACGCCCGAAGGCGTTTACGCGGGATGTGTTGAATGGCAATGGCAAGTTGAGTAGTGTATGCAACAAATGTGTGAAAGGAGAGACGGAGATGTTCTGTTAAGGACTAATACACTAGAAAATGAATTACACACAAGGGTTCCTTTGCTACTCAAAACAAAACTTACATCAATATTACCACCATATATGTTAGGAGTATGGGGTAGTTCACTAAAATTTGCATTCCTTTACTAATATCCTCAAAAAATGCACTTCCACATTCAACAATAGCGTGTAATGTATCATACTTTCAATAACTACAGGGTGCAAGGCTGTGCTCTAGGGAAAATTTCAGGGGAGCCTTTCGGGCTCCCAAACATTCTTAGCTGGGATGCCCGGGCCTCCAAGTTGGTCGCCCAAATTAATAAATCAATGAGCTGTTAGTTAAATTATTTTCTTAACAAGTCAAGCAGAATTTTGTGAATATTTGTTTCATGCAAAATCACATCCCTTTGACTGGGCTCCTGAGCGTGCGAAAAAAAAACCCCGCATGTTGTCATATGAAAGTAAGTTTTCGCGCCATATTAGAAACATGGGCAACGCCGCCGAATATTTCATGTTTTTTAAATGGAAAAGTAAGATTCTGGTCTGTTTATGTCTAGTTGGAGTTATGAAAACCGGGTTAGCACACATTTGTAATTTTTCGCAACTTCCCCTGTCTAATAGCTTGACATATGTTTACTGTGTTGTTTGGTTATGTCGTTTTTTTTTGCTTGTTTTGTGGCTAGGGATCCGTGTAGAAGTAGATGTAGACTGAATTACTATCTTACCCCCCCTCCCCGATTTTTTCCCTTACCTATAATTCTTTCTTTAACACAAGTGACAGTTATTTGAAATCAGCGCGCGCCTAAAGCTGGTTTCGGTGCCGCTTAGCAGTCACCTTGAGAAAAGTTTCCCGGAGAGCATCATGTAAAGCTCTGAGATGGGACAAAGTTATTACGATTCGCAAGTCTGACTCCTGTTCAAAATCCGTTAAGAAATTGTGTAAATCGCTCCTATTTACCAGAAAAATGGCCACAACAGCCTTCAACAGAAATAAGATAGAGATGGAG